GCCCTGCTTCTAGGCACCGCCCGGGGAGGAGATCCGTGGGGAGGGTTGGCTCACTGTGGGGAGGGGGCTCTGGGGAGGAGACAGAGGTCTCCGAGGAGACAGCGATGCGGAGCGGGTGCTCAGAGGTGGCTGCGCATTTCAGCAGGTGAACTGGAGGCTCTGCACCACATCTCACCGCAGGACGGCCGGCTGGCTCTGGTTAAGGCTGAGGCTGCGGTGCACACAGGACGGCCGGCTGGCTCTGGTTAAGGCTGCGGTGCACACAGACACCCAGTTGGGCTCTGGTTAAGGCTGAGGCTGCGGTGCACACAGGACAGCCGGCTGGCTCTGGTTAAGGCCGAGGCTGCGGTGCACACAGGACGGCCGGCTGGCTCTGGTTAAGGCTGAGGCTGCGGTGCACACAGGACGGCCGGCTGGCTCTGGTTAAGGCTGAGGCTGCGGTGCACACAGGACGGCCGGCTGGCTCTGGTTAAGGCCGAGGCTGTGGTGCACACAGGGCGTGGCCGGGCGAGGAGAGCGCCAAGCAGCCTGTGTCCCTCCGGCGGACACCCTGACACCCTGACTCTGCTCGCTCGGCTCGGTGCTGCTTCCTGGAGGCCCGGGCTGTGGCCGCAGCAGCTTCCTGTGGTTAAAACAAGAACTACCTGTTCCTCCGTCTGACTCTACATAAACAAGCACACGAGACCTGTTGTCATTTAAAGAAGCACGTAAGCAGCTGTGGGTTCCGCCCAGAACTTCTGGAAGCTAGAAAAAGGGAAGACACTGATTTAAGAAACACACATACACACTTTCCATCTTAAATATACATTTTTTACAATTTTTTAAATTGATTTCAGAGAGGAAGGGACAGGGAGAAAGAGAGAAGCCTCAATGGTCGGCTGCCTCCTGCACGCCCCACACTGGGCATCGAGCCCGCAACCCGGGCCTGTGCCCTGACCGGGAATCGAACCCTGACCTCCTGGCTCACAGGTCGGTGCTCAGCCACGGAGCCCGCGGGCTGGGCGCACACACACTCTCCTGTCGCAGGACTGGTCCGCCCTCATCGCGGCCTCCGTCTTTCTCTCGCCTCTGGGTGACCGTCTGTGTGCTCGGCGCTGGCCCCGCGGTGGGCAGGTGTGTGCAGACCGAGGAGAAGCCGCGGGCTCCCGGAGCCCACAGCACTGACGGCCGGGACCCTCCCGGGGAGATCGGCGGAGGGAACTGGGCCCAGCGATGGCACCGGCTGTTCTCCGCCCCCAGGCCTCCCCCCCCCCCCCCCCAATTCTACAGGGTCACACGGCACAGCGGCTGCGGGAGGAAATGGCTGTGCGCAGTGACGGCTCATGGGTGACCGGCCGACCCCACCCGGTCCCTTTCCCGCGTGTGCCCTCCCTCCTCATCCTCTCCCAGCGGCAGGTGCACAGCCAGCTGGGTGCCCGCACCCTCCTGGGCCCCAGGGACCCGCCCAGCCCCGGAGGCCCTGGCCCAGGGCACAGGCCCGGTGCAGGCGTCTGGGCTGGGCCTTCCTTCTCGCAGCGGCCGAAGTTTCTGCGACCGTTCCCCCACGCTGACCCTGAGGGTAGTGAGCGCCACGCCCTCCTCACCAGGCCGGGCCCACGGCCTGGGCCTCCGTCCGCCCCTCGGGGAGCAGGCCGGGCCTCGGGGAGCAGGCGCACACACGCCCGAGAGGAAGCCTTCACTCAGCTCCAGGACAGGAGCAGACAGCAGGCAATCCTGCGGAGGGAAAGCCTCGAGCCCTGAACTGATGAAGCCAGAATGCCAAGCCCTGGCTGGTGTAGCCCAGTGGTTAGAGCGTCAACCGGGCACTGAACATTCCGGGCTGGCTGTCAGGCTCCAGGACCCACATGGAGGCGTGGTGAGCCGGAGCAGGAGCGGCCCTGACGGGGGAGGAGGGGGGCGCTCGGGTTCATTCCCTGTCAGGGCATGTACCCGGGTTTCCGGTTCGAGCCCTGGTCAGGCTTCGTACAGGAGGCGACCGATTGGTGTTTCCCTGCCTCCCTCCCCCTTCTCTCCGTAGAATCAATCAGGAACACGATCTTCAGGGAGGGCGATGCCAGAAGCAGTTGAGGGACCCCTTGGTGGACAGGTGTTCTGGTCGTTCGCGGTTCGGTTGCTCGGCTTTTATTATATGGGATTGTATGGGATTATTTCTAATCCTCACCCAAGGATATTCCTCCATTGACTTTTAGAGAGAGGGAGAGAGGGGGGAAGACAGAGAAACAGCACGTGAGAGAAACACATCGATGAGCTGCTCCAGCACACGCCCCGACCAGGGCCCGGGCCAGGGAGGAGCCTGCAGCCGAGGTGCGTGCCCTCCACCGGCATCGAACCTGAACCCGTTTACAGGCCGACGATGCTCTGCCCACTGAGCCCCCAGCAGGGCCGTCCCCGACTTCCGGTTTCCTGGCTGTGCTCTGAGGGGCATCTGCCTGCTCCTCCGAAAGGCGTTTTTCTTAGTGACGGCACCCAGGCAGCGCGGCCGTCCCAAACCTCTGGCCCCGAGGCCGCTCCCGGGGGGGCCCCCCTCCCCCGCCAGGGCCGCTCCCGGGGGGCCCCCCTCCCCCGCCAGGCCCGCTCCCGGCCCCCCCCCCCCCTGCCGTCAGGGCCGCTCCCGGGGGGACCCCCCTCCCCCGCCAGGGCTGCTCCCGGGGGGCCCCCCCTCCCCCGCCGGGGCCGCTCCCGGCCCCCCCCACCCTGCCGTCAGGGCCGCTCCCGGGGGGACCCCCCTCCCCCGCCAGGGCCGCTCCCGGGGGGGCCCCCTCCCCGCCAGGGCCGCTCCCGGGGGGGCCCCCCTCCCCCGCCGGGGCCGCTCCCGGGCCCCCCTCCCCCGCCGGGGCCGCTCCCGGGGGGGGGCCCCCTCCCCCGCCAGGGCCGCTCCCGGGGGGCCCCCTCCCCCGCCAGGGCTGCTCCCGGGGGGCCCCCCTCCCCCGCCAGGGCCGCTCCCGGGGGGCCCCCTCCCCCGCCAGGGCCGCTCCCGGGGGGCCCCCTCCCCCGCCAGGGCTGCTCCCGGGGGGGCCCCCCTCCCCCGCCAGGGCCGCTCCCGGGGGCCCCCCTCCCCCGCCAGGGCCGCTCCCGGGGGCCCCCCTCCCCCGCCAGGGCCGCTCCCGGGGCCCCCCCCTCCCCCGCCAGGGCCGCTCCCGGGGGCCCCCCTCCCCCGCCAGGGCCGCTCCCGGGGCCCCCCCCTCCCCCACCAGGGCCGCTCCCGGGGGGCCCCCCTCCCCCGCCGGGGCCGCTCCCGGCCCCCCCCCCCCCTGCCGTCAGGGCCGCTCCCGGGGGCCCCCCCCCCCCCCTGCCGTCAGGGCCGCTCCCGGGGCCCCCCCCCCCCCTGCCGTCAGGGCCGCTCCTGCTCCGCTCACGGCGCTTCCATGTGGGTCCCGGACGCCTGCCAGCCGGCCCGGAATGCTGTTTTCTGCTGACCCTCCCCCAGGATTTCCCGCGAGAGTCAGGGGGTTATAGAGCGGGAGGGAAGGAGGGCGGGCGGAGAGAGGAACATGGACGTCAGAGAGACATGGCTTGGTTGCCTCCCACACTCATCCTGACTGGAGCCAGGGGTCAAACTGCAAACCGGGCCCATGCCCTTGACCGGAAATTGAACCTGTGACCCTTTGGTGCTCGGCTGACACTAACCACCTGAAGGTATTCTTTCATTGACTTTCAGACAGTGGGAGGGACGGGGGGACAGAGGGAGGAAACATCGGTTGGTTGCCTCCTGAATGTGCCATTGGCTGAGGGTGGAACCCGCAAATCAGGTACGTGCCCTTGACCTGGAATAGGACCTGCGACCCTCTGGGGTGTGTGTGCGTGTGTATGTGTGCGCGCGTGTGTGTGCATGTGTGTGTATGTGTGTGCGCATGTGTGGCACTCCAACCACTGAGCCGCACGGGCCAGGGGGGCAGAGTTGACCCTTGAGGCAGCAGGGAAGACATAATCGGAGGCCATAGCTAAGAGCCGGAGACAGCCGAGTGCCGTCCTGACTGGGACGCTATTTCAGGTTCTTCTTCGGGGGCCTCTGATCTGCTCTGTGATGCGGCACAGGGAGGGTGTGTGTGTCAGAGCTGTCTGTGGAGCTCAGGTCACACCCAGGGGAGTGTGTTTCAGGTAAGAACGGCTTTGTGGAGGAGCACCTACTGTGTGCAGGCAGCGAGAGCACCTATGGGTGGCACGGAGCCCATGGCCTTGCCTCCCTCCAGGCGGGGAAATGGCTCCTGGCAGACAGCAGGCAGGACTGCCGAATACTCGCCGAGTGAACGGACATAAAACTGGCAGCAAATCCTGGCCAGTGTGGCTCCGTGGATAGAGCTTTGGCCTGTGGACTGAAGGGTCCCAGGTGTGACCCCGGCCAAGGGCATGGACCTCAGTTGCAGTCTCGGTCCTTGGCCCTCGTCAGGGTACATGCGCGAGGCAACCAATTGATGCGTCTCTCTCACATGGATGTTACCTCTGTCCCTCTCCCCCTCCCTTCCATTGTCTCTAAAAACCAATGGAAGAAAATAAACAAACCAAAAGAGAGATAAAAACAAAGGGGAAAATGGTGAGGAGTAACCCAAATAATAGTAATAATAATAATCTTAACTACCGTGTTCCCCGAATCCAAAAATAAGACCTACTTACAGGTTTCCTTCTGAGTGAAATATAAGGCCCCCCCTCCCCCTAGGCTAAACATGAGAGATTTGGTCCATTGATTCTGAAAGAAATGGAGTCACAAGAAATTCACCAGGAAATTCAGGAATTGGATTGTTAGGATGATGTTCCGGAAGATGATGACATGATTGTCACTGAATAAATGAGTAAATTCTTGATACTATAGGATTCACAGTTTGTCTGGGTTGTGTTGACAACTACCGTAATACCGTACCATATACAGGTAATAAATTTCCTTTATTTTCATTTAACAATAAATGTGTACCGTATTCTTCTTCATGGAAAAATAAGACATCCCCTGAAAATAAGACCTAGCGCATCTTTGGGAGCAAAAATTAATATAAGACACTGTCTTACTTTCGGGGAAACTGGGTAATAGACAAACATGTAAATTGATGGTACCTTAGCTACACCCACAGCCAATCAGAGTGAGTATGCAAATCAGAAGGACAAAGATGGCGACCGCCCAGGTGCTCCAGCCCAGGTGCTCCAGGCAGAGTGGCCGGGCGGGGGGGCAGGACGCCTGCTATGAGAGGGAGGGTGGGGCGAGGGATCTCCGGAGCGGCACTCCGGCCAGAGCCAAGGCCTGGGTCCGGGAGCCGGAGGGAAACCGGTGCCGGAAGCCGAGGGAGGAGGGCCTGTTGCAGGGATCTCTTCATGCGCGGGCCTCTAGTTATAACGACGATGATGATGATGATGAGAGAGCCTCACGCACAGGCAGGTCTGGGGCGCTGGGAACTCATGCTGACCAGAGACCTTTATTGGGGTGCCGGCCGCATGGAGAACAGGAGGAACGTGAGGAGGAGGCAGCCCGGACCCGAGCTGGCGCTGTCCAGCGTCCTTCCCGACCTATCGATGGCGCCGGGCGGTGGGTCGGTTTTCACCGCTTCCGCTCCTCCGACCGCGCGGTCCTCGGTCCCGGCGCCGGGGGGCGGCGTCTCTCACGGCCCGGGAGGCAGCCAGGCCCCCGGGGAGTCCTCTGCCGAGTGTCCACGGAGGCCCGCCAGGCTGGGGTTCGAGGCTCCGGACCTGGCCCAGCGGCTGAGTCCCGGGCTGGGACTGAGACGAGGCAGCGCTGAGAAGGGGGTGCCCCGCTCAGGGACCCGCTGGGGGGCAGGCCGCGCCCCCCGGGGCCCCGAGGCCCCGGCCGCCCCCGGGCGCTGCGGGCCGCTCTCCGCTCTCCGCGTCCTCGGTGACGACGCTCAGCTTGTCGAAGACGTCACTCTCGTCCGCGGGCGGGAAGGAGAGGAACAGGAGCCGGCCGTGCGGGGGGCGGCTCAGGAACTGCGAGGGAGGCGAGAGCGTGAGCGAGGGCCGGCCTGGGCTCAGAGCCCGCACTGGACTCCGGGCCGGAAACCGGCTCTATGTTTACCGTTAGTCACTCCTCACCCAGTGTTTTCCCACTGATTTTGGGGAGAGGGGGAGGGAGAGAAACACCGATGTGAGAGGGACACACCGATGGGCTGCCTCCTGCACCCGCCCGGCCAGGGCCTGAGCTGGCTCTGCAGAGGGAGGCCCAGACTGCGGGGTGATCGATCGCGGAGTGATCGATCGCGGAGTGCTGGCGGGGACCCCTCCCCCCTCCCCCTCCCCCTCCCCGCCCCGGGTGGCCTGGTGCCAGTGTCTGTCAGCGTGGTCCTCCGGATGGTACTTCTGCTGTTCGGTCGTTTGGCCAATTTGCATATTACCTTTTATTATTAGATATTACAGATAGCCTGTTGTAGCAACACCATGTGACTCACTCGCCCTGACATGACTGATCTCTGCTGCTGGCTGCTCTGCCCCCGGGGCGGCCCCAGGTGGGGGCGGGGGCGGGGGAGGGGGCGGGGGAGGGGGTGTGTCCCCATCTCCGGTGGGTAGAGGAGGAGCTGGGGAAAGAGGAACTTTCCCCATCCTCAGGCCCAGGGGGTGCAGAGAATGGACCGGAAACTGGTCGACTTTCCTGGAACGAGGGGGGGGGGAGGGCGAGGACGGGGGGGGGGGGGGGGGGGGGGCGTGCCCGGCTCAGGCGCACTGTCAGGGGGCGCTGCTTGGGGGCCCGGAGCCGGTGGTGGCTCGGTGCATCCTGGGTGCATGCAGCTCACAGCCGCAACGGCCCCCGCCCAGCAACCCTGCCCAGCCTCCAGCATTCAGAGGAGGGTGTGGGGCGGGGGGGCCCTCTGCATTGCAGTCCCGCAGAGCGCCTGGGAGGAGCCATCCTCGGGGCCCTGGTCCAGCAGCCCCTGGCTCCCCGCTGTCACAGGGCTGCGCCTGGTCACGTCGGCAGGGCTGTCCAGCCCCGGGGGACGCAGAGCCACTTTGATGGTCACAGAGCCCCCCTCCCCCCTTTCCTGTCTCTGACGCGAAGCCCAGAGCCAAAACAACCGCGGCCTGGCTTCCTCCTGGTCCCTTCAGGGGGCGCCCTCCCTGGAGGCAGGGCCGCCCTGCTCTTCCCGCTGCAGACGGGCCTCACCCTTGGCCTCTACAGATCCTCTCTCTAAAGCTACTCTGTTTAACCATCTTACTGCTTTTTAGAGAGAGGAGGGAGAGGGAGAGAGAGCCATCCATGGTAAGAGAACCGCTGATGGGCTGCCTCCTGCCGGTCCCCCACGGGGATGGAGCCCGCCAGCGCACGGTGACCTCCGGCTCCCGGCCAGTGCCCGCCTCCGAGCCACCGGCTCCGGCGGTGCCAGCGTTTCACATGCTTATTTTTAAGTGGCTGTGTCAATACCTATGTAAACGCCTCTTCACCTGAAAGCCTAACCTCTGCTTCTGGCCCTTTAAGAGTACCTGCTGGCCTCTGGCGGAGAGGGCTCCCCAGGAGACACAGCAGGCACCCTGGGACGGAGGCAGGCTGACCCTTCTCAGGCCAGGCCCCTCTGGCCGGGAACCCGGCCGGCCAGACCCGTGTGGCTCAGGTGGGGGGGCAGCGCCTGGACGGCCTCTCTCCTCCCGTCGGCGCGGCTGAGCACAGGCGCCAGGCCGGACCAGGCCGGACCAGGCGGCGCCAGGCAGACGCCACGGCTGTGCTCCACGGGGCAGTCAGACTCACCGGCACCTCCTGGTGGCGCCCACCCAGTTCTGAAGGCAGGGCTTCCAGGCTGCGGCCACGGCCGGGAAGGGCCTGGTGGCCGGAGGTGCAGTCCTGGCCGAGCCGAGGCCCCGGCACAGGCTGTGGGAGGGTCTCGGAGTGGCAAGGCCAGGGGTGTGACTGGTACCACCAGCCAACCCGGGTAACCTCCCAGGAGCAGGCTGACCCTGCAGGAGAGCTTCGGAGACCCCGGGCACAGGTGGCCGGTAGTGGGCGCTGAGGTGCAGCCCAACCTCCTTCGGGGGGGCCCTCCCCCCGGGTGCCGGAGCCTCTGGCCGCTGACACAGCTGAGCGGCCCCTTGCTGGTCGCCCCCGGGGAAGGGGGCTCACAGCTCCTGGCCTTAGCGGGGGCACCTCCAAGGAGCCGTCCCAGCTCCAGGGCCCTGGTCCGGCCAAGGCCGCTGCTCTGCCTGCAGCCCAGGCCCGTGCCCACGCCCTGCTGCCCGCACCCCCAGAGGCACTATTCCCACGGGCACTCCCGCCGAGCCTCCTGGACCCAACCTCGGGCCTGGAGTCTCTGCTGGTGCGAGGCCAGCGGTGGGCCCTTTGGGGCCGGGCCGGGCCTGCCTTTTACTGATTGATGGGTTTATTGATTGATTGATTTCAGAGAAGAAGGGAGAGAGAAACGTCAATGAGAGAGAATCACTGATCAGCTGCCTCATGCAGGCCCTTCAGCCTCACACTCTATCCCCTGAGCTACACCAGCTGGGCAGGCCCGTTTCCCGCTGAGTGTCCTCGCACGGCCTGTGCCGCTGAGCGAGTCCTCCGCTCCGTCCAGACACACCGCTCCTCCCGCAGCCTCTGAAGCAGCCCCGAGTCCAGGGCACACGCGTTATTCCAGGCACTGGGGCGCCCCGCTCCCCGCTGTGCGCTGGCCGGAGCCTCGGGCCTTCCCTCTTTCTCCCGGTGCCACGCTGAGCACCGCCTTCCTGTGCCAGGGCCTTCCTGTCCCCACCACTGGCACCGGGCGCTCTGGCGGCTAGGCTCAGGCAGGAAGGTCGGCAAGGGCACAGCCGCCAGGTGGGGGCCGCCTGGGACGGCCTCTGCTCCTCCCTCAGGCCGGCCGTGCTGAGGCTGAGCACAGGCGCCAGCCCGGACCAGCGGGCACAGGAAGGCGCCAGGCCGGACCAGCCAGCACAGGAAGGCGCCAGCCCGGACCAGCCGGCACAGGAAGGCGCCAGCCCGGACCAGCGGGCACAGGAAGGACCAGTGGGCACAGGCAGGACCAGGCCAGACCAGCGGGCACAGGCAGGACCAGGCCAGACCAGCGGGCACAGGCAGGACCAGCGGGCACAGGCAGGACCAGCTGGCTCCTGCAGGCCTGAGGACTCAGGAGGGAGCTCGCTGGGTCAGGGCCCCGCCCCCGCCCCCGCCCCGGCCCCGCCTACCTCCTTCAGGTGCTGCGGGAGCGTGTTGCGGGGGGAGAAGGCGTACTTGGTGCCCTTGTAGATGCTCCACAGCAGCGCCGAGCAGCTGGCGAGCAGCAGGCAGGCGGCCAGCACCGAGGCCGCCAGCACCACGGCCACCACGATCCAGGAGAGGATGCTGTCTGTGGGGGGCAGCGCGGGTTACATCCGGTCCCGCAGCGGCTCACGGCCACTAACTGTCCCCCCTGCCGGACTGCCACACCGGGAGGGCCCTCCGTTCACCCCGGGACACACACACACGGGGGACAACCCAGCAGCTGAGGACCAGCGTCTCAGGTGTCATTCTCTCCTGTCTTTTTCCACGTGTCAGCCATGAGGCGTGTGCGCCCCCATACATACACACACACACAACTACATATACTCACACACATGCACAATCACACACACACACACACACACACACACTCACTCTCACACACACTCACACACACACACGCACACACTCCCCTCGCCCCCTCGCCGCGGCCAAGAGTCCCATCCTGGATCGCTCTCCCCCGGCCGGAGCCCATCGGACCCCGAGGGGAGAGCGGGAGGACCTGCTGCCCACAGGCCCGGGCTCCGGCGCCGGCCACACGCCTGCCTCAGCGCTGCCCGGCTCGGACCCGCGTCCCCTCCCTCCGCAGGGCGGTCGCCTGGCCTCCCGGGGCGAGCTTTAAATGAGGCCCCTCCGGTCTAAATACACCTCGAGGGTGTTTTCTGTGGGAAATGCTGGTGTTCGTGAGTTCACGGTGAGCATCTGTCCCCAAGTCCTTGGGAAAGTGTCCTCTGACCAGGTCACACGGCCGGTTGGGAATGCTCAGCGGGTGGGTCAACACGACCGTCACCGGGACAGCACCGATGCCGGCACAGCCCCGGCCCCGCGCCCCGCGCCTCGCTCCGGGTCACAGGTGCGGCCGCGGAGGCGCGGGTGGCCAGGACCTGGCCAGGAAGGCAGCAGAGAGGGGTGACCGCAGTCAGAGGTTCTAGTGACTGCAGGATGGAGGGGCCCCCACAGTTCCAGCCCAGATGACCCAAGAGGATGTGAGGAAGCCGCAGGGCGGGTGAGGGACCGAGGCGGGCCCTCCTCCGGGGGCTGGAGGTGCTGTTATCTGGTGAGACCGGGGAGGGGCAGGCACCCTGGCCGCTGACCTTGGCCGGAACGGGGTGTGGTGGTGTGGGGGTGTGGGGGTGTGGGGGTGTGGGGTGTGGGGGGTGGGGGGTGTGGGGGGTGGGGGGGGGGGGGGGTGTGGGGGGTGTGGGGTGTGGGGGTGTGGGGGTGTGGGGGGTGTGGGGTGTGGGGGTGTGTGTGGGTGTGGGGGGTGTGGGGGTATGTGGGGGGTGGCGGTATGGGGGTGGGGAGGGTGTGGGGGTGTGGTGGGTGGGGGTGTGGGGGGTGGCGGTGTGGGGGGTGTGGGGGGGTGGGGGGTGTGGGGGGGGGTGGGTGTGGGGGGGGGTGGGGGGTGGGGGTGTGGGGGTGTGGGGGTGTGGGGGTGTGTGGGGGGGGGGGGGTGTGGGGGGTGTGGGGGTGTGGGGGGTGTGGGGGTGGGGGGTGTGGGGGGTGGGGGTGTGGGGGGGGGTGGGGGGTGGGGGGGGGGGGGGGGGGTGGGTGGGGGGGGGGGGGGTGGGGGGTGGGTGTGTTGGGGGTGTGGGGGGGTGGGGTGTGGGAGAGTTGGGGGGTGGCGGGTGTGGGGGGTGGCGGTGTGGGGGGGGTGGGTGTGGGGGGGGTGGGGGGTGGGCTGTGTTGGGGGGGTGGGGGGGGGGGGGTGTGGGGGGGGGGGGTGTGGGGGGGTGGGGGGTGGGGGGGTTTGGGGGGTGGGGGGGGGTGTGGGGGGGTGGGTGTGGGGGGGGGGTGGTGTGTTGGGGGTGTGGGTGGTGGGGTTGGGGGGTGGCGGTGTGGGGGGTGTGGTGTGGGTGTGTGGGGGGTGGCGGTGTGGGGGGTGTGGGGGGTGGCGGGTGTGGGCGATGGTGGGTGTGGGGGGATGGCGGTGTGTGGGGTGTGGGGGTGTGGGGGGGTGGGGGTGTGGGGGGTGGTGTGTGTGGGGGGTGTGGGGGGTGGGGGTGTGGGGGTGTGGGGGGGTGGGGGTGTGGGGATGTGGGTGTGTGGGGGGTGGCGGTGTGGGGGTGTGGGGGGTGGGGAGGGTGTGGGGGGTGTGGGGGGTGGCGGGTGTGGGCGATGGTGGGTGTGGGGGGGGATGGTGGTGTGGGGGGGTGGCGGTGGTGTGGGGTGTGGGGGTGTGGGGGGTGGCGGTGTGGGGGGTGGCGGGTGTGGGGGGGTGGTGGGTGTGGGGGGGATGTGGTGGGGGTGTGTGTGGCAGTGGAGGGGCCGCAGGAAGAGAAAGGAGGGCGCCCGGAGCCCCCGGAGAGGCACAGACCCCGCCCTCCGCTCAGACCACTCTCCGGAAACAGCGGGAACATTCCAGAGGGGCCCTCCCTGCAGCCTCGCCCTCCATGGAGGACGGTGACGAGGAGGGCAGCGGCGGCGGCCGGCTCCCGGCTCCCGGCTCCCGGAAGGAGCGGCCAGTGGCTGCTCCCGCCGGACGGGGTGAACCCGGGTCAAGTGGGCCCGCCCGGCAGGTGCGGACCCTCCGGACAGGTCTCCGCTCCTCGAGGAATGGGGATCCCGGGGCGGCCGGACCGGCTCAGCCCACGCCCTCGGCCCAGGGCGCCCCCTTAGCCAAAGCCCTTCCCCGACTGAGGACAGGAGACCAGGGGCTGGTGTGACGGCCCTGTGCGAGGGGCCGCCCTGTGCGAGGGGCCGCCCTGCAGGCGGGCAGAGCGCAGCCGGGGGGCGGGGTGCCCCGGGGCACCCCAGCGCTCTGACTCTGAGGACCAGGGGGCCGGGGCCCACGCTCCCCTGGGCAAAGCTGCAGCCGAGACAAAGCGAACGGGCGAGGGGCGAGGTCGGTGACAAACCACCGTAAGCGGAGCCTGCGGCCGGCCGGCCTGCCGGGCCAGCGCGAGCCGACGGGCAGACAGCGCCGGCGCCGGGGGGAGCTGTCCACGGGACGCGCTGTCCTCTCCCCCCGCCCCGCGCGGCCGCCTCCGTCGGGCAGGACGTGGGAGGACGGAGGCCCTGGCAGAGCCCGGAGCCGCGGCCTCCCCTGTGCACGGCCGCTGCCCTTTGCCCCCTTCCGTGTACCCCGCCTTCTACCCTGCGAGCTGCCGGCGTGGGGGCGGAGCGGATCTGAGGGTGCCCGCCCCCGTGCTGCCGGCGGGACCGGAATAAACGCCCATCTGGGATTCCACCGTCTCCGCCGTCTCCCGGGAGTGACGGCCGGGCCCTGGGCTCAGTGACAAACGTGGCCGGCGGGGCCCCGGACCCCACGCACGGACGAGGGCAGGCCTCCCTCCGGAGGGACCTGGCTGTGACCCGCTGCCCGGGCACGGGCCCAGCGGGCGGGGCCTGGGGCCTGGGGCCTGGCTGCCTGGGCCCAGCAGGCGGGGGCCTGGGGCCTGGGGCCTGGGGCCTGGCTGCCTGGGCCCAGCAGGCGGGGGCCTGAGGCCTGGCTGGGCGGTGACCCGGAGGGCCGCCCAGCCCCCCCGGGAGGGGTGCTGGGAGCGCAGACTCACCGTCGCTGCCGATTCCCTTGCAGACGGGCTCGCTCCACCGCCCGGTCCTGTTCTGGTTGGGGAGGAAGCCCCGGACGTGGACGCAGTAGGTGGTCCACGGCGCCAGGTTCCTGAGGACCTCGAAGTCATAGTGGCAGGTCACCAGGTGCTGGGGAGGGAGACACAGGTGAGGAAGGTCACCGGGTGCTGGGGAGGGAGACACAGGTGAGGAAGGTCACCGGGTGCTGGGGAGGGAGACACAGGTGGAAGGTCACCGGGTTGCTGGGGAGGGAGACACAGGTGAGGAAGGTCACCGGGTGCTGGAGAGGGAGACACAGGTGAGGAAGGTCACCAGGTGCTGGGGAGGGAGACACATGTGAGGAAGGTCACCGGGTGCTGGAGAGGAGACAAGGTGAGGCAGGTCACCGGGCTGGGTAGGGAGGGACCACAGGTGAGGAAGGTCCCAGTGGCTGGGGAGGGAGACACAGGTGAGGAAGTCCACCGGGTTGCTGGAGAGGGAGACACAGGTGAGGCAGGTCACCAGGGTGCTGGGGAGGAGACACAGGTGAGGAAGGTCACCGGGTGCTGGGGAGGGAGACACAGGTGAGGCAGTCACCGGGTGCTGGGGAGGGAGACACAGGTGAGGAGGTCACCGGGTGCTGGGAGGGGAGACACAGGTGAGGCAGGTCACCGGGTGCTGGGGAGGGAGACACAGGTGAGGAAGGTCACCGGGTGCTGGGGAGGGAGACACAGGTGAGGAAGGTCACCGGGTGCTGGGGAGGGAGACACAGGTGAGGCAGGTCACCGGGTGCTGGGGAGGGAGACACAGGTGAGGCAGGTCACCGGGTGCTGGGGATGGAGACACAGGTGAGGAAGGTCACTGGGTGCTGGGGAGGGAGACACAGGTGGGAAGGCCACCGGGTGCTGGGGAGGGAGACACAGGTGAGGACAACAGGGACGGGACACTGGTCCCCCCTCCCAGCCCCCCGCTTCCCAGGTACAGTCTGAACGTCAGGCTCCAAACAGGAAGACGAGGGGACCTCGCACGTCTCCCAGGTCATCCCGAGGCCCCGTCTAAGAGGGGCCAGCACGGACTGACCCTCACACACGTGTTTTTTTTTTTCTTAAATATATTTTTATTGATTTTCTACAGAGAAAGGGAAAGGGACAGAGAGCTAGAAACGTCAATGAGAGAGAAACATCGACCAGCTGCCTCCTGCACACTCCCTACTGGGGATGTGCCCACAACCAAAGTACATGCCCCTGACTGGAATCGAACCCGGGACCCTTCAGTCCGCAGACCGACGCTCTATCCACTGAGCCAAAGTGGTTTTGGCACACACGAGCTTCTTTGTCTTATTTTGTTAATCCTCCTCCGAGGGCATTTTCCCATCGATTTTTGAGCGAGTGGGAGAGAGAGGGAAAGTCAGAGGGAGACACATGGAATGGCTGCCTACTGCAGGAGCCCTAACCAGGCCTGGCCGGAAAGGAGCCTGCAACAAAGGTACGCGCCCTTGACCGGAATCGAACCGAGGACCCTGGGTCTGTCCACTGAGCCACACTGGCCAGGGCACAAATGTGTTTCTTCGGTTCTCTAGTTCAAACGACACACAAGAAGGATCTGCCAGTCATACGTGTTGAAGTGTGCACCCCCAGTGCACACGCTGACGTCCGCACCCCGGTGCCTCAGAGAGACCTCGCCGGACATAGTGGGCTTTGCAGGGACAAGCAGGTTACCAGGGCATCCTTAGGAGGCAATCAGGTGAGGAGGGTGCCAGCGCGCCCTGTGCCCCCACACGAAGGGCACATGTGGACACAGACATGCATGCAGAGGGGTGGCGTGAGGATGAGGCAGAGACGGGACCTCAAGGCTATCAGCCACCAGCAGGGGCTGGGAGGGGCCTGGGGCAGCTGGTCCCTCCCCCTCAAGGGACCCAGCCCTGCAGGTGCCGTGACCGGCCTCAGCCTCCAGCGCCGGGGGTGTTTGTTACGCAGCCCGCGCTGACTGATACACGGTCGTCTACAGGAAGACTCGGCCAAGAGATCGCGTCTGAGCCTGGCTGCTGGGGTTCCCTCTCACTGCTCCCCGCTCCTGCACCCGGGGAGCCCTCCCCCGCAGGGCCCACACCCCGCCTGCCTGGAGGGACACACCGGCTCCTCTCAGCCTGATCTGAATGTCAGCTGTCACAATGGAGTCTGGGACCCAGAACCCTGCCGCGGGCCTGTCCCCCAGGGAGCTGCCTGGGAAGGCCGGCCGGCGGCCGCGGGCCTGTCCTCCGGGGGCCTGTCCTCCGGGGAGCTGCCTGGGCGGCCGTGGGCCTGTTCTCTGTGGGCCTGTCCTTTGGGGCCTGTCCTCCGGGGGCCTGTCCTCCGGGGCCTGTCCTCCGGGGGCCTGTCCCCCGGGGAGCTGTCCTCCGGGGGCCTGTCCTCCGGGGGCCTGTCCCCCGGGGAGCTGCCTGGGAAGGCCGGCCGGCGGCCGCGGGCCTGTCCTCCGGGGGCCTGTCCTCTGTGGGCCTGCCCTCCGGGGGCCTGTCCTCCGGGGGCCTGTCCTCTGTGGGCCTGTCCTCCGGGGGCCTGTCCTCCGGGGGCCTGTCCTCCGGGGGCCTGTCCCCCGGGGCCTGTCCCCCGGGGAGCTGCCTGGGAAGGCCGGCCGGCGGCCGCGGGCAGGACCGCACAGGAAGGGAGCGCAGACGTGCTGTGTGGGGGTGGTTCTCTCCGCGGGGACCGGGCCGGCCGGCAGCTGTGGACATCCCTTCCTGCAGAGAAGCTAAATCTGGAGACAGGGAGAGGAGGGCGACTCCCAATGGTTAAAACCAAGGACAGCCCGACTCCCGCTTTGGCTCCTACAGTCCAATCCCTCTGGCACCCCGGGAGGCGGCCCGAGCAGAGCGTGAGGGGGAGGGGGAGAGCCGGGGCCCTCCATGGCTTCCAGCCCCCCTTCCCTCGGGGAAGCTATAGCGTTTCTCAGAGCCGCTCTGCGACCAGTCGGGGACCTCGCCGGCCTCTAGGCGGCGTGTGCAGGCGCCCAGAGACCCGTGGTCTTGTTGCTGGGGAGCGGGGGGGGTATGGGGTGGGGTGGGGGGCTGCCTGGGCAGACAACCACAGACGGTTTATCAACAAGCGTCCTCACAGCCCGGAGGCTGGAGTCCAAGGTCCGGCGCCGGCAGGCGAGGCGTGCCGTCTGGTGGAGACGAGCCTCCAGCTCTGATCCTCACGGGCGGGAGGGGCGGGGCGGGACGGGAGTCTCCGGGGTCTCGTCCTTAAAAGCTCCCCTCAGTGACCACCCCACCAGGGCTTCCGTTCCAACACTGGGCTTGGGGTGGGGGACCCGGACACCCAGCCACAGCACAGATCCACCGGCAAGGGCACCCGGCCGCGCGGCTCAGGGGCTGAGCTTGACCCCTGAACCAGGAGGTCACGGTTTGAGTCCCAGCCAGGGCACAGGCCCGGGCTGTGGGCTCATCCCCGATCGTGCAGGAGGCAGCCGACCAATGCTCAACGATCATCACTGATGTTTCTCTCTCTCTCTTCCTGTCCCTTCCTCTCTGAAGTCAATTAAAGATTTTTTTTAAAGGCAGGCGGATAGCTTGCATACGGGGGAGTTAACCTGCAGTGTTTCGGGGGCTGCGCGGCACGCACATGCAAACTGAATCACAACCTTCCTAAGACAGTACTCATGGCTGACCCTTTGCACCAAACGCCTGGGAATCCAGGGATAAAAGCGACCCGGATGGAGGAGAACCCGTGTGTGTACTGAGGGGCACGGCACACACCGGCACGCCCGTTACGCCACATGGGCTGTCGGCCGAGAAGCAGACAACAGGAGCCCACCTGCCCCAGAACAGAGGAAACCACGCAGTGTCTGCGTCCGGGGAGGGCCCGGTGCCGACCGTCACGCTGGCCAGGCAAGGGAGGCTGGCTCTTTCCGCCATCCAGTTCCCAGCCGCCCCCAATCTACCCCAGCCCCTCAGCTGCCCCAGCCCCCCCAACCCCACCACAGCCGCTCCAGCCGCCCCAGTCTTCCCAGCCACCCCCCCCCCCCGGCAGTGCCCCAGCTGCCCCGCCCCCCCGCTATCCCCAGCCCCCTCCCACAGCTGCCCCCCCCCCGCTATCCCCAGCCCCCCCCACAGCCGTCACAGCCGCCCCCCCCCCGCAGTACCCCAGCTGCCCCGCCCCCACTACCCCAGCCCCCCCCCCCCGGCAGTGCCCCAGCTGCCCCGCCCCCCGCTATCCCCAGCACCCCCCCCACAGCCGTCCCAGCACCCCCAGTCTTCCCAGCTGCGCCCCCCCGCAGTGCCCCAGCCGCCCCGCCCCCCCGCTATCCCCAGCCCCACCCCACTGCCGTCCCAGCACCCCCAGTCTTCCCAGCCGCCCCCCCCCCCGCAGTGCCCCAGCCGCCCCGCCCCCCCGCTATCCCCAGCCCCCCCAGCCCCCCCAGTCTTCCCAGCTGCGCACCCCCGCAGTGCCCCGGCCGCCCAGCTGCAGACCTTCCCCGTTTGCTGACGAAGGGGTCACGGTGGCCTCTGCGCAGACATGAGGAAGCTGAGGTCCAGCATGTGACCACAGTCCCTCGGTGGCAGGGGTCACGTCTCCCCGCCGGCCTGTGCTTTGGGAGGGACCGCCCCCCAAAGAGGGGAGGGCGATGGGGAAGGTGGCCGCAACAGGAACCGTGTGACACCGCTCAGCCCGGGGGCTGCTGCCCGTGCTGGACCGTCCGGGGTGCAGGTGGGGCTTGGGGTCAGGCCATGACACGGCCGTCACTCAGCGGCCACCTGACTCGGTGGCTCTCCCGACTCAGCCTCCCTGAGACCCCCAGCCAGACGCCGAGTCAGCGCGGCCTGCAGCTCCCCCCGCCCCCCGCCCCCCCCAGGGAGGGGAGGTCTGGTCCCCCCGCGCCCGGCCGGCTGCTCCTGCCGGGACACGGCCTCCCGCAGACCGGAGCGCTGGGCGCTGCCCCCCGGCGCCCCCTCCCCGTCACCACGGCCTCAGACCGCCCGGAGCGGGGGCGGGAGCCTCTCGGAGGGGCCGGCCTGCCAGCTCACCCTGGTGTCCGAGCCGTTCCTCCAGTACTCCACGTGGTACACCCACAAGCTGTAGATGTTCTTCATGGTCCACGCCCACTCCTTCTCGATCCTCGGGGCCAGGAGGTGGATGTGTAAGGAGTTGGCCAAGGCTTCCACGCGCATGCCCGGCGGCCCGATAACGGCTGAGGGTGCGAACAGAGCGAGAGGACGATCAAACGTCATCGTTTAAAAACGGCAACGTCTAGCCGAGACCGGTGTGGCTCAGTGGATAGAGCGTCGGCCTGCGGACTGAAAGGTCCCAGCTTCGATTCCAGCCAAGGGCATGTACCTTGGTTGCGGGCACATCCCCAGTAGGGATGTGCAGGAGGCAGCTGATCGATGTCTCTCTCTCTCATTGACGTTTCAAACTCTCTATCCCTCTCTCTTCCTCTCTGTAAAAAATCAATAAAATATATTTAAAAAAAACCCGGCAATGCCGAGTGCAGACCTGCCGGCCCATGGGGGCGCTCTGCTCTTGGCGAGCCCCCTGCCGGGCCCCGGACAGCCGCGGCTAAGGAGGGCAGCTGGGTTGTTTCTGAAAAATAAATCTGACGACCTTTGCTTCTACTAACCACGGTGGTTCATTTATATGCGTTGTAATTCCTAATGTCTTCCAAACTATTCCAAGCACCTTATCTGTGTTTCCTGTAAAGACTGGGCGCCCCCCGCCCTCCTCCCCCATCCCCCATCTACCCCGGCTTTCAAGGTGGAACCAGTTTCAAAGCCCAAGGTCCTGGTTACGTTCACCTCCTAACCCTGGGAACCCCCGGGCCCCTCCAATCTCACCCGGGAGCACTGTTTATGCTTCACAGGCAGCCTGACCCAATACACCTGCCACCGGCCGCGTCCACAGCTCCGTCCTTTCTTCTGGGCAAGCAGGCCGTGTGCACCTGGTCTCCCCGCCCCACCCCTGCCTGGAGCACCACTATGCTTGGTCTCTGTCTCATTTCTTTCAGTCCTAACCCCAAACCCACTTCCTCCCAGAAAAGGTTCTACGGTCACGCACTGCGCAGCGATGTGTCAGCCATGACGGACCACACGTGTGACCGTGGCCCCTGAAGATCATAACGGAGCGGAAGAGTCCCATCGCCTGGTGATGTCAGAGGCACCCTGAGGTGACAGAGCAGCACGTTCCTAACGGGTCTGTGCTGATGCTGGTGCCAAAGAGCTTTTTAAAAAAAAGACTGATACTACGATTACTTTCTTACTTATATACATATACCCAACATGTCAGCAGGGCTGGATCATCTGGAATGGCTGAGGGCATTTCCCAAATCCGAAAAGGATGTATAAATGATTGCTTTGCTGCCAGAACAGCTGAGGGCATTTCAATCTACAAGGTACTGCCTCCTACTGGCCAAACACCTGAACAGCGGGAGTTAGTTCCCCCAATCTGACAAAGGATTCTGTATTCTAAACCTTGGCCTTTGATGTGTATTACCCCCACCTTGCCTTAGGACAGTTTGTGTTAATAAAAAGCAAGGGGTCCTGAGACGAGGCAGAACTTAGTTTCTTTAGCAAGCTACTCTGGCCCCCCAAATGCCTTCCAAAATTATGTTTCATCTCTGGACTCTTGACTAATTTACACACAGCACTTCTCCAGATTCCTGACCCTTCTAGATGCTGAATCAAGACCCCCCTGCCCAGCATGCGCGCGCGCAGACACACACACACACACACACACACACAGAGTGGCCAGATTACTATGATCTCTGAACGCATAATAATCTGGCTGCTCAGTGTATATCCTATATAATAAAAGGCTAATATGCAAATTGTCCCCTTGACCAGGAGTTTGACCAGCAGGCAGACTGGCCAACTGCCCATGTCCCCTTCCCCTGGCCAAACTGGCCGGCCCCCACCCATGCACGAATTCATGCACCAGGCCTCTAAAATTTATGCATGCACGTGTGCACATGCACACACACAAACACACACACACACACGCTGAGTGGCCAGATTATTATGTGTTCAGACGTCATCATAATCTGGCCACTCAGTGTATACACACACACACACACACACACATATACATACGTTTTTAATTGAATTCAGAGAGGAAGTGAGAGGTAGAGGGAGAGACAGATAGAAACATCAATGGTGAGAGAGAATCATGGACCGAATGCCTCCTGCCCTGTGGCTATGTGCCTGACTGGGAACTGAACCGGTAAGCCCCTGGTTCCTGGGTCAATGCTCAACCGCTGAGCCACCCCGGCTGGGCCCTTCTCTACGTTTAGACACACAGATACTCTCATGGCGTCCCCGCCTCCGGAATTCAGCACAGCAACCAGCTGCCGGGCCGTGGCCGAGGAGCCACGGGCAGGGCCACGCTGCCCAAGTGTGCGGTGGGCTGTGCCGTCCCGGCGTGAAGGTCGCTATGGGGGCTCACACTGAGGTCGCCTGGTGACACATTTCTCACGGGTCCCCCGGCTCAGCGGCGCATGGCTGGACGTTAACCACCCGGGCCTTCTCATGACCAGCCCTGGCCCCAACCTTCTCACCGTGAAGGCCCTCCGGCGCTAAATCTCCATGTGGCCATCGTGTGGACTTCCTGCCGGCCCTCCCGTCCCTCCCAGGGGCTCCTCTTTGCCGTGCGGCCCCTACGTTCCCGGGACAAGGCCGCCCGCTTCGTGGGCACCCAGAGGGTCTGGCCGGCGGGCAGCGAGGGGGCGACCCCGAGGCGTGGCGAGGATGTCACAGACGCGGAGGGCGGGCGACTTACTGTCGTCGACGGGACAGAAGCTGAGGTTCACCCAGGCGGAGTGCTCGGCCCCCCGCTCGGCCCTGACGCGCAGCGTGTGGTCGCCGTACTTGGAGAGGTCCGAGAAGTCGCACTCGGTGGCGTTGGTGCCCGCGCAGCGGTCCTGGAACTTCCTGTAACTACAGAGCCGGAGACGCAGCCTGAGCTGCTGAGCGCGTACGGCGGCCTCCTGCCGGCCCCACGAGGACCCCGCCTGGAACTCAGCACGTGACCCTGACCGGGATCGAACTGTGGTCACCGCGGAGCCACGCCGGCAGGCGAGCGAGCACAGGCATCGTCAGCGAGCTGACGACCAGGATGCACGATTCACGAGCATTTTACACAGGGTACCACGAGACGTGGCTACGCCTGGAGCTATTTAAATGGAGAGATTATAAATGATTCTGGCCCGGTGGGCGTGGCTCCGTGGTTGCGTGTTGACCTGTGGACCAGGAGGGGTACAATTCTGGGTCAGGGCACAGGTGCAGGTTGCGGGCTCCATCCCCAGTAGGGGGCAGGCAGGAGGCAGCCGATCCAGGATTCTCATCACTGTTTCTCTCTCTCTCTCCCTCTCCCTTCTTCTCTGAAATCAATAAACATATATTTAAAAATAAAATAGAATTAAGAAACCGTGGTTTGTGTCAGTCCCAGAGAGGTGTCTCCTATTGCAAAACAATGAAAAACCCCGTCGGTGACGGGGTGGCCGACGGCCTCCATGTCCCGGTGACAAACCGCCGCCCTCTCTCCCGGCCGCGCGGGGCCTGGCCTGGCACCGGACGGAGGGAAACGGTCCACCTGCTGGCCGGGCCGCGCTTCCACAGGCAGGCCAGGCAGGAAGAGGCCGCGGCGGCACCGTGGGCGGCCACGGCCACGGCCACGGCCACAGTCGCGTGGGTGACACAGGCCGCTGCCCGAGGGCCAGCCCGGGGCCACCGTCCCCACACCTTCCTGCCACCCACGCCCCAGACTCACCCGAGGTACTGAGCTGTGAAAGTCAGGGTCCCGTTGGGAAACTCGGGCGACTCCCACTCCAGAATGTTCTTGAAATTAACGGAATTCATCCTGACGTTTTCTGGAGGAGGCACCATGCCTAAGGCTGCGAAAATAAAGGGAAGACGGTTCTTCCCTCTGGCCAGCCGGGTCAGCGGTGAGCGTGCCTGCCTGCACACCGAGGGGCCGAGGGGCCGATTCCCAGGCAAAAGCAAAACCCTGGGTTGCAGGCCCGATCCCCGTTTGCAGTTGGGGCACGTGCATGTGGGAGGCAGCCAATCGATGTGTCTCTCTCACATGGATGTTTCTCTCTCTCTCCCCTCCTTCCCACTCTCTCTGAAAACCAATGGGATAAATATCCTTGGGTAAGGATTAAAAAAAAAAAAAGCCCTAGCTGGTTTGGCTCAGTGGATAGAGCGTTGGCTTGCGGACTGAAGGGTCCCAGGTTTGATTCCGGTCAAGGGCACATGCCCAGGTTTCAGGCTTAGTCCCCAATAGGGGGCATGCAAGAGCCAATCAGTGATTCTCTCCCATCACTGATATCTCTCCTTTCCTCTCTGAAATAAATGAAAATGTTAAAAAAAAAAAAAAAAAAAAAAAAAGTCACCCAAGAAAATGACCAGACCCCGCCCTCAGGCCTCCCCTCTGGCTCCGCGCCCACAGGTGGGCAGGGGGTCAGACACGTCCCAGAGGCAGTGACTGGATTTCAGACACGTCTGCTGCGGAGGCGGAGACGGGAGCTGAACCTCCATCCCGGCCTGAGCGCCTGGCGCCGGGTGGGGCTGGGGGCAGGGAGGCGAGCGCCCCCTTCCAGCAGCACCAGGTTTGGGGTGCTGGAGCCATGCTCAAGGGGCGTGTGGGACAGTGGATGAGTGACTCCGAGGCTGGAGGACAGATTTGGGCTGGAGATGGAGGTCATTTTTTTTTAATTGATTTTGTACAGAGAGGAAGGGAGAGAGAGAGAGAGTTAGAAACATCGATGAGAGAGAGTCAGCGATCAGCTGCCTCTTGCATACCCCCTGCCGGGGATATGCCCGCAACCAAGGCACACGCCCTTGACCGGAATCGAACCCGGGTCCCTTCAGTCCCCAAGCCGACGCTCTATCCATTGAGCCAAACCGGTCTCGGCCATTTTTAAACTTGATAGGAACTGTCTAATATCCATACAAGCAGAGGCGAGAATACAAGACTGCCACTAGCCGGTCTCCAGCCGGTGCTGGCAGGGGGGGTCCGGGCCGGCAGGGGGGTCTGGGCCATCAGAGGGGGGTCTGGGCCGGCAGGGGGGTCTGGGCCATCAGAGGGGGGGTCCGGGCCGGCAGAGGGGGGATCCGGGCCGGCAGGGGGGGGTCTGGGCCATCAGAGGGGGGGTCCGGGCCGGCAGAGGGGGGATCCGGGCCGGCAGGGGGGGGTCTGGGCCATCAGAGGGGGGGTCTGGGCCGGCAGGGGGGGGTCTGGGCCGGCAGAGGGGGATCCGGGCCGGCAGGGGGGATCCGGGCCGGCAGGGGGGTCCGGGCCGGCAGGGGGGTCTGGGCCGGCAGAGGGGGGTCTGGGCCGGCAGAGGGGGATCCGGGCCGGCAGAGGGGGGTCTGGGCCGGCAGAGGGGGTCTGGGCCATCTGGGTCTGGGCCGGCAGAGGGGGGTCCGGGCCGGCAGGGGGGGGGTCTGGGCCATCAGAGGGGGGGTCTGGGCCATCAGAGGGGGGTCTGGGCCATCAGAGGGGTGTCCGGGCCGGCAGGGGGGTCTGGGCCATCAGAGGGGGGTCCGGGCCGGCAGGGGGGTCTGGGCCATCAGAGGGAGGTCCGGGCCGGCAGGGGGGTCTGGGCCGGCAGAGGGGGGTCTGGGCCGGCAGAGGGGGGTCTGGGCCGGCAGAGGGGGGTCTGGGCCATCAGAGGGGGGTCTGGGCTGGCAGGGGGTGTCTGGGCCATCAGAGGGGGGTCTGGGCCATCAGAGGGGGGTCTGGGCCGGCAGAGGGGGGTCTGGGCCATCAGAGGGGGGTCTGGGCCGGCAGGGGGGGGTCTGGGCTGGCAGGGGGGGGTCTGGGCCATCAGAGGGGGGTCTGGGCCGGCAGAGGGGGGTCTGGGCCATCAGAGGGGGGTCTGGGCTGGCAGGGGGGGGTCTGGGCCGGCAGAGAGGGGTCTGGGCCATCAGAGGGGGGTCTGGGCTGGCAGGGGGGTCTGGGCCATCAGAGGGGGGTCTGGGCTGGCAGGGGGGGTCTGGGCCGGCAGAGGGGGGTCTGGGCCGGCAGAGGGGGGTCTGGGCCATCAGAGGGGGGTCTGGGCTGGCAGGGGGGGGTCTGGGCCGGCAGAGGGGGGTCTGGGCCATCAGAGGGGGGTCTGGGCCGGCAGGGGGGGGTCTGGGCCATCAGAGGGGGGTCTGGGCCGGCAGAGGGGGATCCGGGCCGGCAGAGAGGGGTCTGGGCCGGCAGAGGGGGGTCCGGGCCGGCAGGGGGGTCTGGGCCATCAGAGGGGGGTCCGGGCGCCGGCAGGGAGGGGTCTGGGCTGGCAGGGGGGTCTGGGCCGGCAGAGGGGGGTCCGGGCCGGCAGGGGGGGGTCTGGGCCGGCAGAGGGGGGTCCGGGCGCCGGCAGGGAGGGGTCCGGGCTGGCAGGGGGAGGTCTGGCCCAGCAGAGGGGGGTCTTGGCCGGCAGAGGGGGGTCCGGGCGCCGGCAGGGAGGGGTCTGGGCTGGCAGAGGGGGGTCCAGGCCGGCAGAGGGGGGTCTGGGCCGGCAGGGGGGGGGTCCGGGCCGGCAGGGAGGGGTCTGGGCCGGCAGAGGGGGGTCCGGGCCGGCAGGGGGGGTCTGGGCCGGCAGGGGGGGGTCTGGGCTGGCAGAGGGGGGTCTGGGCCGGCAGAGGGGGGTCTGGGCCGGCAGGGGGGGGTCTGGGCCGGCAGAGGGGGGTCTGGGCCGGCAGGGGGGGGGTCTGGGCTGGCAGAGGGGGGGTCTGGGCCGGCAGAGGGGGGTCTGGGCCGGCAGGGGGGGTCTGGGCCGGCAGGGGGGGGTCTGGGCTGGCAGAGGGGGGTCTGGGCCGGCAGGGGGGGGTCTGGGCCGGCAGGGGGGGGTCTGGGCCGGCAGGGGGGTCTGGGCCATCAGAGGGGTGTCCGGGCCGGCAGGGGGGTCTGGGCCATCAGAGGGGGGTCTGGGCCGGCAGAGGGGGGTCTGGGCCGGCAGAGGGGGGTCTGGGCCGGCAGGGGGGGGTCTGGGCTGGCAGGGGGGGTCTGGGCCGGCAGAGGGGGGTCTGGGCCGGCAGGGGGGGGTCTGGGCCGGCAGAGGGGGGTCTGGGCCGGCAGGGGGGGGTCTGGGCCGGCAGAGGGGGGTCCGGGCCGGCAGGGGGGGGTCTGGGCCGGCAGAGGGGGGTCTGGGCCGGCAGAGGGGTCTGGGCCATCAGAGGGGGGTCCGGGCGCCGGCAGGGAGGGGTCTGGGCTGGCAGAGGGGGTCCGGGCGCCGGCAGGGAGGGGTCTGGGCGCTGGCAGAGGGGGGTCCGGGCCGGCAGAGGGGGGTCTGGGCCGGCAGGGGGGGGGTCCGGGCCGGCAGGGAGGGGTCTGGGCCGGCAGGGGGGGGGTCTGGGCCGGCAGGGGGGGTCCGGGCCGGCAGAGGGGGGTCCGGCCATCAGAGGGAGGTCCGGGCCGGCAGGGGGGGGTCCGGGCCGGCAGGGGGGTCTGGGCCGGCAGAAGGGGGGTCCGGGCCGGCAGGGGGGGGTCCGGGCCGGCAGAGGGGGGTCCGGGCCGGCAGGGGGGGGGGTCTGGGCCGGCAGAGGGGGGGCCGGGCGCCGGCAGGGAGGGGTCCGGGCTGGCAGGGGGAGGTCTGGCCCAGCAGAGGGGGGTCTTGGCCGGCAGAGGGGGGTCCGGGCGCCGGCAGGGAGGGGTCTGGGCTGGCAGAGGGGGGTCCGGGCCGGCAGAGGGGGGTCTGGGCCGGCAGGGGGGGGGTCCGGGCCGGCAGGGAGGGGTCCGGGCCGGCAGAGGGGGGTCCGGGCCGGCAGGGGGGGGTCTGGGCCGGCAGGGGGGGTTCTGGGCCGGCAGAGGGGGTCTGGGCCGGCAGGGGGGGGGTCTGGCGGCAGGGGGTGTCCGGGCCCTCTCAAGAGGGGTTCCGGGCCGGCAGGGGGGTCTGGGCCATCAGAGGGGGGTCTGGGCCGGCAGAGGGGGGTCTGGCCGGCAGAGGGGGGTCTGGGCCTGGGCAGGGGGGGTCTGGGCTGGCAGAGGGGGGGGTCTGGGCCGGCAGGGGGGGGGTCTGGGCTGGCAGGGGGGGTCTGGGCCGGCAGAGGGGGGTCCGGGCCGGCAGGTGGGGGCGTCCGGGCCGGCAGGGGGGGGTCTGGGCCGGAGTGGGGGGTCTGGGCGGCAGAGGGGGGTCTGGGGGCCGGCAGGGGGGGGTCTTGGGCGGCAGAGGGGGGTCTGGGGCCGGCAGAGGGGGGGTCTGGGCCGGCAGGGGGGGGTTCTGGCCGGCAGGGGGGGTCTGGGCCGGCAGAGGGGGGTCTGGGCCGGCAGAGGGGGGTCTGGGCCGGCAGGGGGGGGTCTGGGCCGGCAGAGGGGGGTCTGGGCCGGCAGGGGGGTTCTGGGCCGTCAGGGGGGGTGTGCCGGCCGGACTGGGGCGGTCTGGGCCATCAGAGGGGTGGTCTGGGCTGGCCGGGGGGGGTCTGGGCCGCATCGAGGGGTCTGGGCCGGCAGGGGGGGTCTGGGCCGGCAGGGGGGTCTGGGCTGGGCAGGGGGGGGTCTGGGCCGGCAGAGGGGGGGTCTGGGCCGGCAGGGGGGTGTCTGGGCTGGCAGGGGGGGGTCGGGCCGCAGAGGGGGCGGGCTGCGGGGGGGTCTGGGCCGGCAGAGGGGGGTCTGGGCCGGCAGGGGGGGGTCTGGGCCGGCAGGGGGGTCGGGCTGGCAGGGGGGGTCTGGGCGGCAGAGTGGGGTCTGGGCCGGCAAGGGGGGGTCGGGGCCGGCAGAGGGGTCTTGGCCTCAGAGGGGGGTCCCGGGCGCCGGCAGAGGGGTCTGGGCTGGGCAGGGGGGTCTGGGCCGGCAGAGGGGGGTCCGGGCCCGGCAGGGAGGGGTCTGGGCTGGCAGGGGGGTCCTGGCCGGCAGAGGGGGTCCGGGCCGGCAGAGAGGGGGTCTGGGCGTCAGAGGGGGGTCGGGGCCGGCAGAGGGGGGGTCTTGGGCTGGCAGAGGGGGGTCCGGGCCGGCAGGGGTGGGGTCTGGGCTGGCAGGGGGGGGGTCCTGGGCCGCCAGAGGGGGGTCCTGGCAGCGGGGGGGTCACGGCGCAGGGGGGGGTCCGGGCCGGCAGAGGGGGGTCTGGGCCGTCAGAGGGGGTCTGGGCCGGCAGGGGGGGGTCTGGGCCATCGAGGGGGGTCCGGGCGGCAGAGGGGGGTCTGGGCCGGCCGGGGGGGGTCCTTGGGCCGGCAGGGGGGGTCGGGCCGGCAGAGGGGGGTCTGGGCTGGCATGGGGGTGGTATGGGCCGGCAGGCGGGGGGTCCGGGCCGGCAGAGTGGGGTCTGGGGCCGGTCAGAGGGGGTGTCCGGGCCGGCAGCGGGGTGTCTGGGCCATTCGAGGGGGGTTCTGGGCCGGCAGGGGGGGGTCTGGGCCGGCAGGAGGGGGTCTGGGCCGGCAGGGGGGGGTATGGCCGGCAGAGGGGGGTCTGGGCCGGCAGCAGAGGGGGTCTGGGCCGCAGTGGGGGGTCTGGGCCGGCAGGGGGGTCTGGGCCGGCAGGGGGTGTCCGGGCCATCAGAGGGGTGTCCGGGCCGGCAGGGGGGTCTGGGCCATCAGAGGGGTTGTCGGGCCGGCAGGGGGGTCTGGGCCATCAGAGGGGGTCTGGGCCGGCAGAGGGGGGTCTGGGCCGGCAGAGGGGGGTCTGGGCCGGCAGGGGGGGGTCTGGGCTGGCAGGGGGGTCTGGGCGGCAGAGGGGGGTCTGGGCCGGCAGGGGGGGGTCTGGGCCGGCAGAGGGGGGTCTGGGCCGGCAGGGGGGGTCTGGGCCGGCAGAGGGGGGGGTCCGGGCCGGCAGAGGGGTCTGGGCCATCAGAGGGGGGTCCGGGCGCCGGCAGGGAGGGGTCTGGGCTGGCAGAGGGGGGTCCGGGCGCCGGCAGGGAGGGGTCTGGGCGCCGGCAGAGGGGGGGTCCGGGCCGGCAGAGGGGGGTTGGGCCGGCAGGGGGGGGTCCGGGCCGGCAGGGAGGGGTCTGGGCCGGCAGGGGGGGGTCTGGGCCGGCAGGGGGGGTCCGGGCCGGCAAGAGGGGGGTCTGGGCCATCAGAGGGAGGTCCGGGCCGGCAGGGGGGGGTCCGGGCCGGCAGGGGGTATGGGCCGGCAGAAGGGGGTCCGGGCCGGCAGGGGGGGGTCCGGGCCGGCAGAGGGGGGGTCCGGGCCGGCAGGGGGGGGGTCCGGGCCGGCAGGGGGGTCCGGGCCGGCAGGGGGGGGTCTGGGCTGGCAGGGGGAGGTCTGGGCCGGCAGGGGGGGGTCTGGGCCGGCAGAGGGGGGTCCGGGCCGGCAGGGGGGGGTCCGGGCCGGCAGGGGGGTCCGGGCCGGCAGGGGGGTCCGGGCCGGCAGGGGGGGGTCTGGGCTGGCAGGGGGAGGTCTGGCCCAGCAGAGGGGGTCCGGGCCAGCAGAGGGGAGTCTGGGCCGGCAGGGGGGGGTCTGGGCTGGCAGGGGGAGGTCTGGCCCAGCAGAGGGGTCTGGGCTGGGGCCGCGGTCGGGCTGAGGATGGTGCGGGAAGGAGGCAGGCCCGGCATGAGCCTGGCCAGGACTCGGCAGGATGGAGGGTCCGAGTGGGAACATGGAGGGGAAGGAGACGGGGAGAGACGTGTCCCTGTGCCCCGCGTCCGTCCGAAAGGGAGGGCAGGCCGTTCCGAGAAGGGGGGCGTGGGACAGGGCTGCGGACTCCATGGCTTCCGTTTCAGAGCCTCGCCTGGAACCCCATCCCCGTACCCTGGGAGCCTGCCCCCTCAGCCGCCGGGCAGGACCCTGGCCGCGGGCGGGACCCTGGCCACGGGCGGGACCCCGGCAGGTGGAGGGGCACCTGGGCCTCGGGTTGGTTTCGGCTCCTGAGCTCCCGGGGGACAGGGCAGATGGGGGCGCTGCCTGGAGCCGGGAGAGGGCCCCCCCAGCTCCCGCAGCCCCACCCCGGCCACAGGGGTTCCCTCCAACGGCGCCTGTCCTCCTGGGGGCGCCACTCAGGACAAAGCAGCCGCCTTCTTCCCGGTTTGTTCCGGCAGCCGGGTAGGAGGGTGAAGAGTGGGGGTGAGGGTGGGGGTGAGGGTGAGGGTGGGGGGGTCAGGGGTGAGGGTGGGGGGTGAGGGTGAGGGGCGAGGGGTGAGGATGGGGCGTGGGGATGTGGGCCGGGCCGGGGGTGGGGGTCAGGGGTGGAGCTGGGGAGTGGGGGTGGGGGGAAAGGGGTAGTGTTGGGGGAAGAGGTTGGGGGCTGGGGTGGGGGAGAAGGGGTGGTGTTGGGGGGAGAGGTTGGGGGTGGGGTGGGGGGGAAGGGGTGGTGTTGAGGGAGAGGTTGGGAGGTGGGTGGGGGAAGGGGTGGTGTTGGGGGGAGAGGTTGGGGTGGGTGGGGGAGGGGTGGTGTTGGGGGGAGAGGTTGGGGTGGGTGGGGGAGGGGTGGTGTTGAGGGAGAGGTTGGGGGTGGGAGTGGGGGAGGGGGTGGTGTTGAGGGAGAGGTTGGGAGGTGGGTGGGGGAAGGGGTGGTGTTGGGGGGAGAGGTTGGGGGGTGGGGGTGGGGGAGGGGTGGTGTTGGGGAGAGAGGTTGGGGGTGGGGTGGGGGGGAAGGGGTGGTGTTGAGGGAGAGGTTGGGGTGGGGGGGGGAAGGGTGGTGTTGGGGGGAGAGGTTGGGTGGGGTGGGGGAGGGGTGGTGTTGGGGGGAGAGGTTGGGGGTGGGGTGGGGTGGGGGGAAGGGGTGGTGTTGGGGGGAGAGGTTGGGGGTGGGGGGTCGGGGGGAAGGGGGTGGTGTTGGGGGAGAGGTTGGGGTGGGGTGGGGAGGGGTGGTGTTGGGGGGAGAGGTTGGGGGTGGGGGTGGGGGGCCAGGAGTTGGGGGTGAGGTGGAAGGGGGTGGAAGGGGGTGCGCGGGGCCAGCCCGCTCCGGGCCTCACCTGTCGCCGCCGCCAGCAGCCAGCCGCCCAGCCAGCCCCGCAGGCCGCGCGCCATGGCCGCGCCGGGTGCCCCGAGCCCGCCGGGGGCCGCACGGCCGGTGCCCTCCGCGCCGACGCTCCGGCCCAGCCCCAGGCCGCTTCCGGGTCCGCGGGGCACCGCCCCTTCCCGCCGGCCCCGCCCCTTCCCGCCGGCCCCGCCCCTCCACCAGGCCCCGCCCCTTCCCGCCGGCCCCGCCCGTCTCCCCGATGACCCCGCCGGCCCGCCTCCTGGGTCCCTCCCTGCTGCCCCGGCGCCCGCGCCCCCGCCCTCCGGGAGTGGAAAACACCGATGCAGTGAAACCGGTTGCGAAACTGGTGTTCAGGGTCCAGTTCACACAGGCCCGGCCCTCGAGGCGCCGTCACCTGGCTGTGTCCTGGCATCAGCTGGCCGTGTGTCCTGCATCACCTGGCTGTGTGTCTGGCATCACCTGGCCGTGTGTCTGGCATCACCTGGCTGTGTGTCCAGCATCACCTGGCTGTGTGTGTCCTGGCATCACCTGGCCGTGTGTCTGGCATCACCTGGCTGTGTGTCCAGCATCACCTGGCTGTGTGTGTCCTGGCATCACCTGGCTGTTGTCCTGACATCAGCTGGCTGTGTGTGTCCGGCATCACCTGGCTGTCTGTCCGGCATCACCTGGCCGTGTGTCCTGGCATCACCTGGCCGTGTGTCCTGGCATCACCTGGCCGTGTTGTCCTGGCATCACCTGGCTGTGTGTGGTCCTGGCATCACCTGGCTGTGTGTCCTGCATCACCTGGCCGTGGTGTCCGGCATCACCTGGCTGTGTCCTGGCATCACCTGGCCGGTGTGTCCTGGCATCACCTGGCCGTGTGTCCTGGCATCACCTGGCCGTGTGTCTGGCATCACCCTGGCTGTGTCCCATGGCATCACCTGGCTGTGTGTCCTGGCATCAACTGGCCTTGTGTCCTGCATCACCTGGCTGTGTCCTGGCATCAGCTGGCGTGTGTGTCCGGCATCACCTGGCTGTGTGTCCGGCATCACCTGGCCGTGTGTCTGGCATCACCTGGCTGTGTGTCTGGCATCACCTGGCTGTGTGTCCTGCATCACCTGGCCGTGTGTCCTGCATCACCTGGCTGTGTCCTGACATCAGCTGGCTGTGTGTCTGGCATCACCTCGCCGTGTCCCCTGGCATCACCTGGCTGTGTCCTGGCATCACCTGGCTGTGTGTCCAGCATCACCTGGCTGTGTGTCCGGCATCACCTGGCTGTGTGTCCGGCATCACCTGGCCGTGTGTCCGGCATCACCTGGCCGTGTGTCTGGCATCACCTGGCTGTGTGTCTGGCATCACCTGGCTGTGTGTCCTGCATCACCTGGCTGTGTCCCCTGGCATCACCTGGCTGTGTGTCCTGGCATCAGCTGGCTGTGTGTCCGGCATCACCTGGCTGTGTCCTGGCATCACCTGGCTGTGTGTCTCTGACATCACCTGGCCGTGTGTCCTGGCATCACCTGGCCGTGTCCCCTGGCATCACCTGGCTGTGTCCTGGCATCACCTGGCCGTGTGTCCTGCATCACCTGGCCGTGTGTCCTGGCATCACCTGGCCGTGTCCCCTGGCATCACCTGGCCGTGTCCCCTGGCATCACCTGGCTGTGTCCTGGCATCACCTGGCCGTGTGTCCTGGCATCACCTGGCCGTGTGTCCTGCATCACCTGGCCGTGTGTCCTGGCATCACCTGGCCGTGTGTCCGGCATCACCTGGCCGTGTGTTCGGCATCACCTGGCCGTGTGTCTGGCATCACCTGGCTGTGTGTCCTGGCATCACCTGGCTGTGTGTCCGGTATCACCTGGCTGTGTGTCTGGCATCACCTGGCTGTGTCCCCTGGCATCACCTGGCTGTGTGTCCCCTGGCACCGTGTCCTCCGTGAACCAGCAAGTCCCTCCTCTTCCCGCACACATGCTGACATACAGCACGCCATTGGAGATCCGGTCTCCCCTCCCTCTCCCCCTCTCCTTTCCCCTCTCCTTCCCCCTCCTCCTCCAGGAACAAGAGACACAGACCCAAGTCAGTCATTTGGCACCGACTTGCCTCTCAGGAGCTGCGGAGAAAGGGCTAGCTTCCCCCTTTGGAACTCGCACAGGGAGAGCCTGGGCGGGGGCAGGGCCGGAGACCCCCAGGTGCCTGAGTGCAGGGGTCCCCGTCCTTTCTCCTGCAGAGGCGAGGCGAGGCAGCCGGTGACCGCGGCGAAGCCCGCAGAGCCGTCCACGGCACGTGCGCTCTCGCTGGGAATCGGCCCTCGGAGCGCACGCCGGGTGGGCCTGGGTGGCTCAGGGGGTTGAGCATCCTGTGCGCCCACAGGCGGCTGGTCAGGGTGCGGGGCACGCCTGGCTCCGGCCCCCCTGGCGGGGGCCACATGGGAGGCAGCTGACTCGCGTTTCTGTGTCACAGGGGTGCTCCTCTCTCCCCCTCTGTGAGCACGCCCTCAGCAGCCCAGGACTGAGAAAACAGACTGCGCCACGTTTTATTAAAAAGTACCTCTGTATTGTCCTTTCCCCACCCAACCCTCGTACGAAATTTAAAAACACAGGTAGGCACACACGCTGCCGGAGGTCACGGGAAAGGTCACTCTGAAATCGCCAAGGCGCGGCCGGCCGCCGCACTCGGAGGCCGAGAGGTGGGCGTCCACTCAGAGGTCTGATTGGCTGGCGCCCCGGGTCTGATGCGCCCCTTTGCTACAGAACCCGTCAGATCGCCCCCCCTCCCCCCCCTCCTCTCCCGTCAGAGTTACTTTAGAACAAGAAAATAACCTATCGAATGTCCTTGACCTAGGAAGACTGCTGTAAACTTTGTCCCCCACCCCCTTGAAAGGATCCAGAAGGAAGGTCTGAGGATGAGGGCTGAGGTTGGGGGTGGGGTTCTATACCCTCCCCACCGGGGGCCTCCCGGGCTGTGGCCCCTCCGCCCGTCATCAGGCCTGTGCAACTATATATAGAAAAGCCTAATATGCGAATTGTCCCCTGGGGAGTTCAACCACAGGGGAGTTCGCTCGCTCGCGATGATGTGCGCTGACCACCAGGGAGCGCTGCTGGTGAAGGGAGGCCCTCTAGGGACCCCCCCGCCCCCCCGTGCACCGATTTTGTGCACTGGGCCCCTGGCTTCCTAATATTTCTCCCCGCAGTCACAGGGTCTTGGAGAGGACCTTGTCTGGTCCCCTTGTTTCACAAGTGAGCACACAACACAGGCTCAGAGAGGCTGGGCAAAGTGCTCAGGGCCACACAGCACCATGGGCCTGAAGCAGGAGCCCTGGGCATCTGCCCCTGAGCTCCCCCTCCGCAGGGCTGTGGTCACAAGCCGGGCGTCTGGAGTCAGCACACACGGCACTGGCTGCAGGCCCAGGACCCTCAAAGGCCTCCTGGGCCCTCCCCCCGCTGCCTGCCTGCGCTGTCCTGGAGCCTGAGGGAGCCACCGGCCGGCTCCTGCAGCAGCCGGACTGTCCGCCTTCTCCCCGACGCCCTCCCCTGCCCCGTTAGTGACCCCCCAGGGCCCTGGGCCACCCTGCAGGCCCGGGGGACGCGCTCCTCCAAAGCTGCCCCTCGGACCGTGTGCACGTGGCCCCGGGGAAACACCGTGACTCCTCCCACACGGGGGTTGCAAAGGGGATGTCCAGCAGGGGGCGCTCTGCCCCCCCCCCGCTCCGGGAGCAGCGTGGGGGGGGGGGGCTGCGGGTAAGGCCCTGTTCCGGGTCATCTCATCATGTAGCCGCCCCCGAGGCCCGCGTTGGAGGTGGAGGTGTCACATTCACCACAAGGAGCCTCCTCGGGCCCCGGGGTGCTGTCCTCGGAGTCCTCCAGGCCCCCCGTCTCCTCCGGAGGACCGAACACCGCGGGGGCTCCAGAGTCCTCCCCATCCGGGACCCGCACGAGCACGGAGCTCAGGTCCACGTTGAAGAAGATCCGGTCCCCGGGGCTCTCGGTGGGGCTGCTGTCCTCCTGGGGAAAGGGATCCGCCGGCCAGGCCCCCGCCTCCCCCTCGGAGGCCCGGCCGGTGCGCTCGGCCGGCCAGGGCCCGGGCCCCTCGTAGGCCCGGCCGGCCCCCCAGCTCCCCGGCCCCTCGTAGGCCCGGCCGGCCCCCCAGCTCCCCGGCCCCTCGGAGGCCCGGCCGGTGCGCTCGGCCGGCCAGGGCCCGGGCCCCTCGTAGGCCCCGCCGGTGCGCTCGGCCCCCCAGCTCCCCGGCCCCTCGGAGGCCATCAGGGCCTCGGCTTCCTCGCCGGCCCCCGGGGTGGCGGAGGAGGGGGGCCCCGGGCACAGAGGCCTGGCCGCCAGCCCGTGGGTGGTGTAGGCCCCGGCGCTGGCCCGGGGCTCCGCCTCCTCCCCGTCGCTCTCGTCGCCGTAGCTGTAGTCCCACACTCTCCTCTTCCTGTGGACCGGGATGACCTCCGCCACGGCCACCGCCTCCAGGGCCGGCCGCTCGGGGAACGCCCAGATGGGCACGCCATACAAGTTCTGGGGGAGGGTCGAGGGGGGAGGGGGGGAGGAGTTGAGAGGAGAGACGCGGATGAGAGAGAAGAGGTGAGGAGCGAGGAGAGAGGGAGAGGGAGAGCGAGAGGGGGAGAAGCGGAGGGAGGGAGTGGAGAGAGGGAGGGAGAGAGGGGAGGGAGAGAGAGACGGGCGGGAGGGAGAGAGAGAGGGCTGAGAGAGAGGGAAGAGAGGGAGAGAGGGAGGGAGGGAGAGAGAGGAGGAGAGAGGGTGAGAGAGGGAGGAGTGGAGGGGGAGAGGGAGAGAGAGGAGAGAGGCGAGAGAGAGAGGGAGGAGGGAGGGATGGAGTGAGAGGGAGCGAGAGGAGAGAGAGTTGAGGGAGAGAGGGCGCGCGAGAGGGGAAGAGGAGAGGGAGGAGGGAGAGAGAGAGGGGAGCGGGAGAGTGAGAGAGGGAGGGAGGGAGAGGGAGGGAGAGGAGAGAGAGAGAGAGAGGGAGCGAGGAGGGCGCGGTTCGAGAGGAGGAGAGGGAGGGGGAGAGAGAGAGGGGAGAGGGCAGAGGGGAGAGCGGAGGGAGAGGGAGAGAGCGGAGGGGGAGAGAGAGCGAGGGCGAGGGATGGGAGAGAGGAGAGAGAGAGGGAGAGAGGCGAGAGAGAGATAGGGAGAGCGATGAGAGAGGTCGGGAGGGAGAGAGAGAGGGGGGGGGGGGAGAGGGAGGAGGGGGAGAGAGAGAGAGAGAGAGAGGGAGAGAGGGAGGGGAGAGGGGAGGAGAGGAGAGAGGTGAGAGAGAGAGGGAGAATGAGGAGAGAGGGAGCGAGAGAGAGGGAGGGAGGGGAGGGAGGAGAGAGGAGGGAGGGGGGAGAGAGAGAGGAGGGAGTGAAAAAGAGAGGTGGGAGATGGGAGGGGGAGAAGAAGAGAGAGGGAGGGAGGGAGAGAGGGAGGGAGGGAGAGAGGAGGGAGGGAGGGAGGAGAGAGAGGGAGGGAGAGGGAGGAGGGAGGAGAGAGAGAGGAGGGAGAGAGGGAGGAGGGAGAGTGGGAGAGGGAGAGAGGGAGGGAGGAGAGAGAGGGAGGGAGGGAGGGAGGAGGGAGGGAGGGAGAGAGAGAGACGGGACTGAGTATTTGCTTTTCATTTGTGGGTGTAATAAAAGTTAAAGGATTGCCCTGGCTGGTTTTGCTCGGTGGATAGAGCGTCAGCCTGCGGACTAAAGAGTCCCGGGTTCGATTCCAGTCCCTGCACCTGCCCCTCGCTGCCATCTGCATCCCGGCCGGACACCCCCGGTCTGGACTGCCGTCACGTGTTTTTTTTTTTGGGGGGGGGTCAGGAAACGGAGGAGAGACCGAGGCAGCTGATTCCACGGGTGTCCGAGCCCCCGGCCTGGCCTCGAAAGGGCCTGGAAGAACCGAGGGGGGTGCCCTGGGAGCCCCAAAAGCAGCACGCGGGCAAAAGCGGGAAGGAAACCCTAACACGCAAGAGGCGTGTTTCCGAGGAGGACGGAACCCGGCACACGGGACCCCGCTGTGCTCGCAGGCACAGGCGGAGGCGGACGCAGCCACGTACCAGCGCCTTGGGGACCTTGCTCCGGAGGCAGATGCAGCCGACCTGCCGCAGGATGGCGAGGGCGCTGCCCAGGACGGCGGCCAGGAGCAGCGCCACCAGGCCCCCGACCGCGGCCGGCGCCGAGGCCTCTGCGGGAGAAACGAAGCGGCTTTGTCTCAAAACTCACAGCAGGCGCGCGCGGCGCGGCACACGGACGCCCTGCGTCTGGGGGCGAGGCGGGTGTCGGAGGAGCGACGGCTGGAAAGACGCTGTGAAACGCGAACACGGAAATGGAAACAACCCGAATACACATTTCAGCCGAAACCGGTGTGGCTCAGTGGATGGAGCGTCGGCCTGCGGACTGAAAGGTCCCGGGTTCGATTCCGGTCAAGGGCATGTGCCTTGGTTGCGGGCACATCCCCGGTGGAGGGTGTGCAAGAGGCAGCTGGGCGATGATTCTCTCTCATCGATGTTTCTTACTCTCTATCCCTCTCCCTTCCTCTCTGTAAAAAAAAAAAGTCAATAAAATATATTTTTTTCAAAAAGTGACAGGTTTAAGTTTTAAAAATAAGATTAATTCCATTTCCTTTTTTAACTCTACTAAAGATAGTTTTATTCTTTACATTGACTTATAATATCTTCTTTGGATTTATAACATTTTTAAAAAAGTATTTTTTATTTATTTTTTACAGAGAGGAAGGGAGAGGGACAGAGAGTCAGAAACATTGATGAGAGAGAAACATCTATCAGCTGCCTCCTGCAACTCCCACACCAGGGATGTGCCCGCAACTAAGGTACGTTCCCTTGACCGGAATCGAACCCGGGACCTTTCAGTCCGCAGGCCGACGCTCTATCCACCGAGCCACACCGGTCTCGGCTCCATTTCTTTTTCTAAAAATGTATTTTTATTGATTTCAGAGAGAGGAAGGGGGAGGGAGAGAGAGATAGAAACATCAGTGATGAGAGAATCATGGACCGGCTGCCTCCTACATGCCGCACATTGGATGGAGCCCACAACCCGGGCCTGCGCCCTGATGTGAATCAAACCGAGACCTCCCGGTTCATAGGTCGATGCTCAGCCACGGAGCCACCCCAGCCGGGCACTTCTGTTTATCTCACATCTATGACAGCACTGCCCAACACGGAGCCAGGAGACCACTGACCACTGACATTTCATCGATCAAAACTGAAGACACCCCCGGCTCCTGAGCCACGGGGGCCACGTGTCCGTGTGCGCTGCGGGCGGGAGCAGTGGGCGAGGGGCTTCTGCCTAAAACCCACAGCTGGTCCCCGCAGGTGGGCTGGGGTCACACCAGGACCCAAGTCCGGGCTCCGTGTAGCTCTCTCTGTTCCCCCTTACAATCTTGTCCGGCCCTGGCCGGTGTGGCTCAGTGGACAGAGTGTCAGCTCATGGGTCTCGGGTTCGATTCTGGTCCAGGGCACGTACCTCGGTTGCAAGCTCCTCCCCAGGGTTTCTCCCCTCATCAGGGCGAGGGCAGCCAATCGATGTGTTTCTCTCACATCAACGTTTCTGTCTTTCTCTCTCCCACCCTCTCTAAAAGCCAATGGAAAAATATCCTTGCGTGAGGATTAAAAGAAGAAGAAGAAGAACTGAATTTAATCCTGATTCCGTGACATAAAACTGTTCCCCCGCGGGGGCCCCAGCCTCAGGGTCCTCCCTCCCCGGGGGCGTCCCCTCGGAGGGGAAGGGAGCGGGGTCCGAGGCCTGGCCTACCTGAGTCCAGCCTGGGCGGGAGGCGGGTACACTTCCAGGGGGACCGCTGTGATTTGGACAGGAAGTTGCCCTTCAGGCACACAGACACGCAGTAGTTGGTGTTTGGAGCCAGCTTGTCAATGACGTAGGTGAAGTTGCCGGTGGTGTGCTCGCCGATTTGGAGAAGGTGCTGAGACACGGACACACACAGCAGGTCAGTGACGGGCGCGGAGTCTTACTGAGGAGCCAGCCCCGAGGGCACCCCTGGGCGCGGCCTCAGCCCTCACAGGGGGATGGGAGACCCCACGCTCGGCGAGGAGAGGGGGTCACACGTCACCTGGGATGAACCGTGTACCACGGAACCACATGCACACCTGCACACACGCACACGTCTAAGCTATGGAATCTCGTTCTGCAGACGCAGAGAGAAAGCTCCATGAGGAGTACAGTCTCCATGACGCCACTTCTACGGCGCCGTCCAGGGACCTGGCTGTAGGGACGGTGCCTTCCCCAAAGGGCGTCGTTCCTGGGGCCCAGAGGAGGCGCCCGCAGCCCGAGGCCACACAGCCTGGGGCAGAGCCGAGGGCGGCTCCCTCCCCAGGCCGGTCCTCCCTCCTCTCAGACAGGCGGCCTGCAGCTCTCAGAGCCGGAGCTGGCTTTTTGGTTTCGGAATCGGCACGGCCCCTGCCGCCCCGTGAGGCCCCTGTTCTTCCTCAGCCGTGGCCCCGGCCAAGACCAGCACCTGGTCCTGGTCTTCTCTCCAGCGTCCCGTTCGTGTTTCTCACACAGCCATACTCTGGCCGGGCGCCTGCCTGCCCCGCCGCGGCTGCCGGGCGGGCACTGCAGTGCCGCCAGGAGCCCCGCGGGCATGTCCTTCCCAGGGGCACCGGGCAGCCCCCCGGAGGCAGGACTGGGTGCTTCCTCTCCCTCCCCCATCACCCTCTGTTTGTTCCTTAAAAAAAAAATCCGTATATTGCTGAAACCAGTTGGCTCAGTGGATAGAGTAGGGGTGTCGAACTCAATCAGAGAAGGGGCCAAAATCTAAAATCCAGCCTAAATCGCGGCCGAATGGTTACTGAACAGTCATAAAACTGTCATTGTGATGGAAACGCAGCGGAGTGCAGTGATGACAGCGCGGTGCGGGCCACATTGCAAGGCCTGGCGGGACGGATTTGGCCCGCGGGCCTTGTGTTTGACACATGTGGGATAGAGGGTCGGCCTGCAGACTGAAGGGTCCCGGGTTCGATTCCTGTCAAGGGCATGTGCCTTGGTTGCAGGCACAACCCCAGTAGGGGGTGTGCAAGAGGCAGCTGATCCATGATTCTCTCTCATCGATGTTTCTAACTCTCTATCCCTCTCCCTTCCTCTCTGTAAAAAATCAATAAAATATATTTTTAAAAATCCATATATTTTTAATTGAGTTCAGATGGAAGGGAGAAGGAGAGAGAGATGGAAGCATCCATGATGAGAGAGAATCATCCATCGACTGCCTCCTGCATGGCCCTGCTGGGGATGGAGCCCACAACCCAGGCCTGTGCCCTGACCGGGAATCGAAGCATATCCTGGTTCCTAGGTCAACGCCCAATCCCTGAGCCACGCTGGCCCGGCTCACTCCATGTTCTTAGGGAACTGACCCAGAGGACACATCCCGGAAGATCCAGGTCTCTCTGACGCCGGGATCACCGAAGCTCCTGTCAAGCAGGTAGTCCTTCGGGGAACGGGGTGGGAGCAGAGCTGCGGGAACGGCCGTCCCCGTACGGGGCACGGGGGCAGCGGCGGGAGAGGCAGGTGCCTTTTACGTGCGGCTGAACCACCGCCTCCCCCGACCGCCCGGAGCGCTGAGCTGCGCCTGTTCTCCCGCCGGCACCACACGCCCCTCTCTCCTGGGCGTCCCTGGCTCACGGCTAATCCCGGAGGAGTCTGCTGCGGGTCGAGTCTGTGTAGGCCCGTGACCAGCGAACGCTGGAAGTCCCTTCCCCGACATCAGACCACACTGACCTCGGCGCTTCGGGTCCAACTGCTCAGATCAGTACAAATACCTTCATTTTTATTTTATTTAACTAATTAATTTATTTTAAATCCTCACCCAAGGACATTTTCCCACTGACTTTTAGAGAGAGTGGAAGAGAGAGGGAAAGACTGAGAGAAATATCGATGGGAGAGAAACACAGTAATTGGTTGCCTCCTGCACACCCTGACCAGGGCCTGGGGCAGAGGAGCCTGCAACCAAAGTTCGACCGGAGTCGAACCTGGGACCCTTTGGTCCACAGGCTGACGCTCTGTCCTCTGAGCCAAACTGGCCAGGGCGATAATAACTTTCTCTTTTTGAAGTGTATAGCCTATATAATAAAAGCATAATATGCTAAGTGTCCAGTCAACTGATTGGCCATTCAACCAATCAAAGCATAATATGCAAATGATATGCTAAGGCCACTCAACCGCTTGCTATGACGTGCACAGACCAGCAGGGAGCAGACACTGTCCGGTAGGTTAGCTTGCTGCTGGAGACTGGCCAAATGGGACTCAGTGAGACAGGCTGGACGTGCACTGAAGCATTCCCATGGTCCCTCCCCAGCTGGACAACCTTCCACATCTCCAATTGTGCACCATTGGGGTCCCTCAACCTGGCCTGTGCCCTCTGGTAATATGGGACCCTTTGGGGGATGTCACAGAGCTGGTTTTGGCCTGATCCCGCTCAATGCAGGAGCTGCCCCCTGGTGGTCAATTACCTCTGAGTTGTAGCGCTCAGCCAGAAGCTGGGATCACAGACGGCGAGGGCAGGGGGAGTGGGCCTAAGCCGGCAGATGGACATCCCCCGAGGGCTCCCGGGCTGCGAGAGGGCGCAGGCTGGGCTGAGGGACCCCCCCCCCATCCCCGAGTGCAGATTCCGTGCACCAGGCCTGGTATGAATGTAAAAGAATGTCATCACCCACTCAGCACTGCTCTGACCTCTTACCTGCTTCACAACCCCCTCCGACTCCTCCTCTATGGAGAGCGACAGGTGCAGCCACAGCCCTTCCCCAGGCCGCAGCTTGGGCAAGGCGGGCGGGAACTTCAGTGTCACGTTGATGTGGTCCTCAAAGCCGGTGACCTCGAACTCAGGGGGTTCCAAAATCACTGCATGGAAAATAGAGTCAGACGCGACCCCCTGCCAGCCGGCAGCCGTGCCCGCGTGCCAGAGGCCTTCCTTCCTTCTGCCCGCTGTCTTCCTCTCAACCTGCCTGCTGTCCTGCGTCAGGCCTGGTGCGGCTTGTTTTTAGTTATTTTTCAGGAGCATTCGTGTGGTCCCCCTTTTAAGCGATGGAACACGGGACCAACAGGAGTGATTTGCTTCCCACCCCCACAGGAAGCGGACAGAAGTCAGTGCTTGCCCATGGTCAGGCTGTCTTCTAAACACAGAAGTGAGTGCCTTCCTTCCCCATTACAGCTGTAAGGTCGGGACCAAGGCCTCTGCTTTTCCTGGCTGTGGCCTCCCACCATTCATGAGGAGCCCCTGGCAATGACCCCCAAGACTGACGGCTCCTCTGATTCAAACGGGATGAGATGAGCTGCTCTCAAGGCTACATTCCTGCACTCCCCTCCTCCCTGCTGTTTCTACAACTCAGGGGTAGTGCACACCAACGAATCTCTGGTTAGAAGGAAAGCCCCCCCCCCCCTCCCCTCCGAACAGGCCTCTCTCCAGCTCTGTAACCTTTGCTCTGAGCATGTTTTGCGGGGATGAGGAAAACAGCTGTAAGACACTTCCCCAGGATGTCCGCCTGATTCCCAGAAAACAAGCTAACTTTTCAGGAGAGCCCCTGGCATCTGCTCCACCCAGCCAGTCCCCCATCACCCCGCCCGTCCTTGTTGCTTAGCAACAGTCCCTGCTGAGAAGATCAGGCCACCCTTTGTTCCCTGCCCGGAGTCAACCAGCTGCGGTATCTGGCCCTTTCCTCCCTTGGGAAGTAATATAAGCTTCCTCTCTGCGCCTTTCCTCTCCCCGTGAATTCTCTCACAGCCCGAGTCACCGGCCACACCCTGACCACCAGGGCAATACACAACCCCTGCAGAACCAGCAGAGACCACGGACAACTGCTTCTGAAGGTGGCTGGCCATCTTCTTCTGTCTCTACGGCGTGTGTGTGAACATACACAGACATATATACACACCCACACACACACCCTCCCAAGCTAAAATCAAACCGTTCTTTACCCACACCGTTCTACGCGGTACGTGTCTCCACTTATTTCACAGACACATCAACGCACGTGTTTATCTATAGGAGGGCTTGGCCACGCCCGGCCTGGGGGTGAACATCTGCACAGCCTGCACGGTGAGAAGGGCTTTAGCTTCGAAAAGGTTGTAAACAAATGAAGAATACGTCACGGAGACCACACGTGGCCCCCACGGTCTAACGTTTCTCTCTGGCCCCTGACCTTCCTCACAATTTCTCTCAGCGAATTCCCTCCCGCGAGGCGGCTGGACCCAGACTGGACGGGCCTGCTGCTCTGAACACTTGGGCCGACTCTCACTTTTCTGAGCAGAATCTGTGTGTCAGTGAGTCTCCTGGAGCTGAATCTCTGCTCTCGCCCATCGTCTCTCTGGGATAAATCGCTCCGGGGGGATTGTGGGTTAGGCAGGCAGGTGTTAAGGTTCCTAATTCTCACAGCAGCACCTGCAGGAGGACGGGGCCACAGCAGACGCCCTGTCTTTCCTTTAACCTGGGCACTCACGGATTTTTAATGCCTGCCGTTTGGAGTCTTGGAAGAGGGAGTCAACCAGCTGCAGTATCTGTCCCTTTCTTCCCTTGGGAAGTAAGGTGGTTTACTTTCTTTTAAAAAAAGATATTTTTATTCATTTCAGAGAGGAAGAGAGAGGGGAGAGAAAGAGAATCATGGATCGGCTGCCTCCTGCACACCCACCACTGGAGCTGGAGCCCACAGTCTGGGCCTGGCCCCGACCAGGAATCAAACCTCGACCTTCTGGTTCACAGGTCAATGCTCAAGCACTGGGCCCCCGGGGCCGGCATTTTATTACTATTACTTGACAAGCGGTCTTTAATGCCCTCACGGCCACGCCGGGGAGCTGTGCTTGCTTCTCCCTGTGGGGACACTCCCACAGGAAGGGCCTCCCCGGACCTGCTGCCCGCCCGGGGCATGGGCTGCCATTACCGCCGAGCACGCCTCCCGCCTTCCACGGGAGCTGGAACCGAGCCTCTCTCTCGGGAACAGGTGCCAGTGAGGACACCGAGAAGCCAGAAGCCGAGGGCCTGGCAGAGGCGCCGTCCCGCCAGGGGGCTGTGGGCGGAGGGAGGCAGGGCCACCGGGCACAGCCGGTCTGAGCCGGGCCCGGGCACGCCCGCCGGGCGCCCACACGGCGAAGGCTCCTGAGAGGTGGTCTGGGCGAGGCGTGGCGGGGCTGAGGAGAACATCGGCCCCAGAAGGGGTGCCTGCCCACCCGCAGGCCGGGGCCCCTGCGCCCGCTGCCGCCAGGCGGTGAGACAAACCACCACGGCCGGCGGCCGGCGCGGCTCAGGGCTGGGCATCGACCTCGGACCCAGGAGGTCGGGGCACAGGCCCGGTTGCGGGGTTGATCCCCAGTGAGGGGCGTGCAGGAGGCAGCCGATCCCTGATTCTCATCATGGATGTTTCTCTCTGTCTCTCCCCCGTCCCTTCCTCTCTGAAATGAATATAAATATATAAAACAAACCAAAAAGGCAAGTCAACAGGCAGCAGTGGTACTGCCCGTGCCCGCCTCCCGCCGGGAGCCGCTCCGCTGTCTGGACAGGAAGCCGAGGCTCAGAGCCCCGAGGAGCCGCTCCGCCAGGGAGCGGGCGGCGGGCGGCGGGCGGTGGGCGGGGAGCCGGCGGGTGGGGCAGCGGGCGGCGGGCGGGGGGCGGGGGGCGGGCGGGGGGCCGGCGGCGGGCGGGGAGCGGGCGGCGGGCGGGGAGCCGGCGGGCGGGCGGCGGGCGGGGAGCGGGCGGGGAGCGGGCGGTGGGCGGGCGGCGGGCGGGGAGCCGGCGGGCGGGCGGCGGGCGGGAGCGGGCGGGGAGCGGGCGGCGGGCGGGGAGCGGGCGGTGGGCGGCGGGCGGGGAGCGGCGGTGGGCGGCGGGCGGGGAGCGGGCGGCGGGCGGCGGGCGGGGAGCGGGCGGCGGGCGGGGAGCGGGCGGCGGGCGGGGAGCGGGCGGCGGGCGGGGAGCCGGCGGGCGGGCGGCGGGCGGGGAGCGGGCGGGGAGCGGGCGGTGGGCGGGCGGCGGGGGGGGAGCCGGCGGGCGGGCGGCGGCGGGAGCGGGCGGCGGGCGGGGGAGCGGGCGGGTGGGCGGCGGGCGGGGAGCGGGCGGTGGGCGGCGGGCGGGGAGCGGGCGGCGGGCGGGCGGGCGGGGAGCGGGCGGCGGGCGGGAGCGGGCAGCGGGCAGCGGGCGGGGAGCCGGCGGGTGGGCAGCGGCGGCGGGCGGGGAGCCGGCGGGCGGGGAGCGGGCAGCGGGGCAGCGGGCGGGAGCCGGCGGGTGGGCAGCGGGCGGCGGGCGGCGGGCCGGCGGGCCGGGAGCGGGCGGCGGGGAGCGGGCGCGGAGGCTGGAAGGGGAGGACTCACTGTCCGTGTCCGGGAAGATGGAGCCCCCGCAGTCCACCAGCGTGGCGCCCCCCCGGGACCCGACGAGCCGGGGCAGGTACATCTCGGTCAGGCTGCGCCAGTGCTGCGTGAGGTCGCAGGAGGCCCGCGTGGTGTTGGCGCACTCGGGGACCAGCTCCAGGGGCACGTCTGAACCGCTTCGAGGGGAGAAACGGGCGGAGACACTGTTTACGATGAGACGCCGTCCGGGTGCGGCCAGGGCCAGTCCCTCCGCCCGGTCCTCCCCCCGCCCCCCGCCCCCCGCTCAGGGGCCCGGGATCGCCATCGCCTCTGCGCCTCACAGGCTGTCCCTGCACGGAGCAGGCTCACAGGAAGAGCGAGCGAACCTGGGGCTCCCTGCTCCTCCCGGGCAGCCGGGGTGCCCCGCCGAGACCCCGTCCCTCCGCAGCTGAGGACCCAAGGCCCTGCGCCCGGCCAGCCGGAGCCAGGAGGGCGCACGGCCCTCGGCCTCCTCGGCTTCGGAGCGGCAGGCGGCACGAGGCTTCCAGAGCCCTCCAGGCCGCGGGCTCTGGGGCTGAGGCCGACCTGGGCACCAGGAGGCCAGGGTTCGATTCCCGTCAGCGCACAGGCCCGGGTTATGGGCTCCTCCCCCCGTGTGGGGCGTGCGGGAGGCAGCCGGTCCGTGACTCTCTCTCACCTGAATGTGTCTCTCTTCCTCTCCCTCTCCCTCCCTCTCTGAGATGAAATACAGTTTACAAAAGCTTGATGCCAAAAGGACCGAGGACACGCTGTGGGGCTCCTGGCCAATGGGACTGGGGTGAGTGTGCCCCACGGGGGAGAGCGAAGGAGGCGTGTCCCCCACATCGCTGACCCCCCAAGGCCCCGAGGACGGAGCTCTGTGGCCAGGTCACAGGTCAGAGGGTCAGAGGGTCACAGGCCACAGGGTCACAGGGTCACACCACAGGATTACAGAGTCACAGGGTCACAGGCCACAGGGTCACAGGGTCACGGGGTCACAGGGTCACAGGGCCACAGGGCCACGGCGGCGACCCAGCCGGACTCTGGGCCCGGGAGCTTCCCCCGTGCCTCCGTCTCCCGGAGCTCAGCAGAGAGCCGGGCCCTGGCGCTGGTCCGGCGCTGGGCGCCTCCAGGGGAGGGCGCCTTTCCCACAGCCCCGCCCGGGGACCGGGGACCGGACACCCTCGCTCCCGCTCCTGAGGCTCTGGGTGCAGGGATGGCTTTGGTCACCGATGTGAGCTTTGTCCCAAGTGGCCGTGACCTGTCCAAGCATCCCGTCCAATCACACAGGGCTGTACAGCTCCCGAGAGCACGCACACACAGAGTGCGGGGTTCAGGGTGGGGGGAGAGAGAGAGGAAAGAGGAGAGAGGAAGAGAGGCGGGGGGGGGGGGGGGGAGGGGGGAGAGGGAGGGAGGGGGGAGGCTCTGTCTCAGCTGACCCCCGCCCACCACGGGAATGGCGATGGTCCAGCAGGGAAGAGCGAGCCGGGACCCTCACCTCATGTCCGTGTGCCACAGTGTGTAGTGTGTTGGCATGATGGAGCGGTTTTTCAATTCCCAGGATAGAATGGGCCGGAAGTCCCTCAAGGTCAGGCTGAAAATGCAGGACTCATCGGAGGACTCTAGCGAGGAGCAGAGCAAAACGCGGCTGACGGGGTCCTGACCATGCAGCCTCGCCCCCCTCTCCCCCCAGCCTGGGACCTGGAGCCCACATTCCTGGCCAAAGCTGCCCGGAGCCAGCCCCGGCTCTGGAAACACCGACCAGCTGCCTCCCGCACCCCGCCCCCACACACACACTGGGGATGTGCTCGCAACCCAGGCACATGCCCTGACCGGAATCGAACCCGGGACCCTCCAATCTGCGGGCCGGCGCTCTATCCACTGAGCCGCACCGGTCAGGGCCATGACAGGGGTTTCACAACGGCCTCCCGGGCTCATTTCTCACAATAACTTCCTGAGGCAAGGGGAGCGTCAGCTCGGCTCCTTTTCCAGAGACGAGCTTTTGGGAAGGACGATTCCAGCGAAATGGGCAGCGGGTCTGGGATGGGAAGCACATTCCCCCCTCGGAGACGTCTGAACGGCCGCCCGCCCCGCCCTCCCGGCCCTTAGCCCCTCGGGCGCTGCTCACCAGGCCACCTATGCGGAGCTCCGAGCGCCGGCCCGGCCTGCACTGGGGGAGAAAGCCAGTCAGACACGGGCAGGCCCTCCGCCCGCCCCTCCCACGCGAGTGAGCGCGGACCGAGGCCTCCCTGTGCTGCTGGACCCCCGCGGGGGCGTGGACACACCATAGGGGCGTGGACACACCACAGGGGCGTGGACCCACCATAGGGGCGTGGACACACCATAGGGGCGTGGACCCACCATAGGGGGGCGTGGACACACCACAGGGGGGCGTGGACCCACCATAGGGGGGTGTGGACACACCATAGGGGGGCGTGGACACACCACAGGGGGGCGTGGACCCTCCATAGGGGCGTGGACACACCACAGGGGGGCGTGGACACACCATAGGGGGGCGTGGACACACCATAGGGGGGCGTGGACCCACCATAGGGGCGTGGACACACCATAGGGGGGCGTGGACACACCATAGGGGGGCGTGGACACACCATAGGGGCGTGGACACACCACAGGGGGGCGTGGACACACCATAGGGGCGTGGACCCACCATAGGGGCGTGGACACACCACAGGGGGGCGTGGACACACCATAGGGGCGTGGACCCTCCATAGGGGCGTGGACACACCACAGGGGGGCGTGGACCCACCATAGGGGCGTGGACACACCACAGGGGGGCGTGGACACACCATAGGGGCGTGGACCCACCGCAGGGTGGCGTGGGCGCGGGCGCTGAGCACAGGGGCTGCCCAGCGGGCGGAGGACAGAAAGCAGTGTGCTGCTGGTTACTGAACCTCATGGTGAGGACGGCCACCAAGGCCGGGGGGCGGGGAAGGGAGGGTGCAGGGGGTGGGGACTGGCTTGTCCTCTGCCCTCCGGATGGCACGGTGAGCGCGGACATTTCCCCGGCAGAGGCCACGGCTGCTGCAGACACACTGCAGGGACGGGCAGTGCTGCCTGGGACAGATGACAGACAGATGACAGATGACAGATGGATGACAGACAGATGACAGATGATGGATGGATGACAGACAGATGACGGATGACAGACAAATGAGACAGATGACGGATGATGGATGGATGACAGATGACAGGTGACGGATGGATGACAGGCAGATGACGGATGACGGATGACGGATGGATGACGGATGGATGACAGACAGATGATGGATGATGGATGGATAACAAACAGATGACAGATGATGGATGGATGACAGATAGATGACAGATGACAGATGAGACAGATGACGGGTGATGGATGGATGGATGATAGACAGATGACGGATGACGGACGGATGACAGACAGATGACGGATGACGGACGGATGACAGACGGATGACAGGTGACGGACGGATGACAGACAGAGGACACAAGCTGCTAGAGCAGTGCCCGGCGAGGCGCACAGGCGCACACGTGACGGAGGAAAAGCCAGGCTGGGGCTGCCCTCCAGGGTGGTGACCTCGCTCCGAATCGGCCCCACTAGCTCCCGGTCCCCGAGGAGGAGGCGCCCCCAGGCCCGAGCAGGCCTCAGCCGCGCCTGCGTTTGTCTGTTTTCCTAAAAGCGACGGCCCTGGACCGCGGGCAGGCGAGACCGGTCTCCGCATTCCGCCCCCCAGGGCCAGCGATGAGAGTGTCCCTTACCCATGAGACACAGACTGGCCAGTCTCATCGCCACGGCCCTGCGGGTCCACGGCATCTTCGTGGCTTCCTGCGTCCGCCCTCGCGCTCACATCTGAAAGGGAATCGGTGCCGGCGATCAGCATTCGGAGGCGCCTGGTTCAGAGGGCGGAGACCGGTGAGGAGAGACACTGGGAGCTGGGCTGGCCCCCACGTCCACACGCAGCCGAGTCCCCCCGAGGCAGGAAGAGATTTTAATTTTAATTTTAATCTTGAGCAGGGAGCACAGCAACCTGGCTCCAAAGTTTCAAACACACACAAAAGTAGACAGAGAAGGGATTTGCTTCCTCTAGAAAACTACTTTCGCCGAGGCCGGTTTGGCTCAATGGATAGAGCGTCGGCTTGGGGGCTGAAAGGTCCCGGGTTCGATTCCGGTCAGGGCATGTACCTTGGTTGGGTGCACATCCCCAGTAGAGGGTGTGCAAGAGGCAGCTGAATGATGACTCTCTCGTATCGATGTTTCTAACTCTCTCTCTCCCTTCCTCTCTGTACAAAACCAATAAAATATATATATATAAAAAAGAAAACTACTTTCATTATTGTTATTTTGTCACCAGGGCCCGGCGCACAAAATTCATACCCTTGGGAGGGGTCCCTCAGCCCGGCCTGCGCCTCTCACAGTCCGGGAGCCTTGGGGGACGTCCGACTGGTGGCTTAGGCCTGCTCCCCGGCCTGCTCCCCGGCCTAAGCCTTCGTTCAGGCATCCTCAGTGCTGCCACGGAGGCCCGAGGGGCTCCCTCCACTGAGCTCGCCAGCCGTGAGCCCAGCTTCTGGCTGAGCAGTGCTCCCCCTGCAGAGCGCACTGACCACCAGGGGCAGCTCCTGCATTGAGCGTCTGCCCCCTGGTGGTCAGTGTGCGTCACAGCAACCGGTAGTTCCACCCTGCGGTTGATTTGCATATTAGCCTTTTATTATATAGGATTGTGTAGGATATTTTTATTGATTTTAGAGGGAGGGAGAGGGAAGAGAGATAGAAACATCTACAATGAGAGAGAATCATGGACCGTTGCCTCCTGCACGCCCCACACTGGGGATCGAGCCCGCAGCCCGGCCTGTGCCCTGACGGGAATGGAACCAGGGCCTCTTGTTCATGGGTCAACACTCAACCCCTGAGCCAACCAGCCGGCCGAGTCCTTCAGAACACCTTCGTGCAGCACCAAACAAGCCTATTTCCCCACGTTTCCATCTAAAAGAGGGCGTGTCCGTGCCCTGTCCCACCCCTGCTCACCCCGCTCACTCGCACGGGGATCTGGCCGCCTCAGCCCCAGAGCTCCCTGTGGAGCAAGCAGTCGCCCTGCCTCCCTGCGAACCAGCATCCATCAGTCCCTACGGCGGCGCCCGGAGTGCTCCCATCCCTCCTGCCGGACGGCCTCGGACCCGTCCTCCCGTCCCTCCTCCCGGCTGGACGGCCTCGGGACCCGTCCTCCCGTCCCTCCTCCTGCCGGACGGCCTCGGACCCCGTCTTCCCGTCCCTCCTCCCGGCTGGACGGCCTCGGACTCTGTCCTCCCGTCCCTCCTCCCGGCTGGACAGCCTCGGACCCGTCCTCCCGTCCCTCCTCCCAGTTGGACGGCCTCGGACTCCGTCCTCCCGTCCCTCCTCCCGGCTGGACGGCCTCGGACCCCGTCCTCCCGTCCCTCCTCCCGGCTGGACGGCCTCGGACCCCGCCCTCCCGTCCCTCCTCCCGGCTGGACGGCCTCGGACCCCGTCCTCCCGTCCCTCCTCCCGGCTGGACGGCCTCGGACCCCGTCCTCCCGTCCCTCCTCCCGGCTGGACGGCCTCGGACCCCGTCCTCCCGTCCCTCCTCCCGGCGGGACGGCCTCGGACCCGTCCTCCCGTCCCTCCTCCCGGCTGGACGGCCTCGGACCCCGTCCTCCGTCCCTCCTCCTCCCGGCTGGACGGCCTCGGACCCCGTCCTCCCGTCCCTCCTCCCGGCTGGACGGCCTCGGACCCCGTCTCCCGTCCCTCCTCCGGCTGGACGGCCTCGGACCCCGTCCTCCCCTCCCTCCTCCCGGACGGGCCTCGGACCCGTCCTCCCTCCTCCTCCCGGACGGCCTCGGACCCGTCCTCCCGTCCCTCCTCCCGGCTGGACGGCCTCGGACCCGTCCTCCCGTCCCTCCTCCCGGACGGCCTCGGACCCGTCCTCCCGTCCCTCCTCCGGCTGGACGGCCTCGGACCCGTCCTCCCGTCCCTCCTCCCGGCTGGACGGCCTCGGACCCCGTCCTCCCGTCCCTCCTCCGGCTGGACGGCCTCGGACCCGTCCTCCCGTCCCTCCTCCCGGCTGGACGGCCTCGGACCCGTCCTCCCGCTCCGGGGCTGTTGGAGGGACGGGGACCTTCCAGGTGGGCCTGGTGGCCAAAGGCCTGGGTCAGCGTCCCCCAGCCAGCGGCACCCGCCCGCCCGTCACAAACGGTGGGCGGTCCTAACCAGCATGCCAGCAGGAGGCAGCAAACGGTGCGTGTGGCAGCGGAAGGCACCGCGGCGGCGGTCTCCAGCCTGGGTGCGAGGGGCAGAGGGTGCGAGGGGCAGAGGGTGCGAGGGGCAGAGGGTGCGAGGGGCAGAGGGTGCGAGGGGCAGAGGGTGCGAGGGGCAGAGGGTGCGAGGGGCAGAGGGTTTGAGGGGCAGAGGGTGCGAGGGGCAGAGGGTTTGAGGGGCAGAGGGTGCGAGGGGCAGAGGGTTTGAGGGGCAGAGGGTGCGAGGGGCAGAGGGTGCGAGGGGCAGGGGCGGGGCTGGACGTGCAGGAAGGGCGCTGAGGACCGAGAACCCACCCGCCTTGGTCCTCCCTCCGGCCCTTCTCTCCCCTCCCCTCCCTTCCCCTCCCCTCCCCTCCCTCCCCTTCTCTCCCCTCCCCTCCCCTCCCCTCCTCTCCCCTCCCCTCCCCTCCCCTCCCCTGCCCTCCCCTCCCCCCTCCCCTCCCTTCCCCTCCCTCCCCTCCCCTCCCCTCCCTCCCTCCCCTCCCCTCCCCTCCCCTCCCTTCCCTCCTTTCCTCTCCCTCCCTTCCTTCCCCTCCCCTCACCTGCCCTCCCCTCCCTTCCTTCCCCTCCCCCCTCCCCTCCCCTCCCCTCCCCTCCCCTCCCCTCCCCTCCCCTCCCCTCGCCTGCCCTCCCCTCCCCCTCCCCTCCCTTCCCCTCCCTCCCTCCCCTCCCCTCCCTTCCTTCCCCTCCCCTCCCCTCCCTCCCCTCCTTTCTCTCCCCTCCTCCCCTCCCTCCCCTCCTCCCCTCCTTTCCTCTCCCCTCTCTTCCTTCCCCTCCCCTCACCTGCCCTGCCCTCCCTTCCTTCCCCTCCCCCCTCCCCTCCCCTCCCCTCCCTCCCCTTCTCTCCCTCCCCTGGGCTGCACCAGCCGGCAAAGCCAGGGGCGGGCTGGAGGCGGGTCAGGGGGCAGCTGGGATGATGGGAAGATGGAAAGGCCGCCTTCTCGCCGGGCCGCGGTGAGGGGTGGGAGGGAGGGGAGGCCTGCCCCCGGGTGAGAACCCCTTCCCCTCCTCCCTGTCAGCCGCCACCGGTGCTCACGCTGGCGTGTGTGGAACCACCGCCCAGGGGGTCTGAGCTGCGCTCACGGCTACGGCGTTTGCCTGGGAGCCCTTCCTCCAGGCGCGAGGGCCGTCCCGCCCTGGGCTCCTGCATCGTCCGAGCATCCGAGCGACCGAGCGTCCGAGCGTCCGAGCGCCCGAGCGCCCGAGCGCCCGAGCGACCGAGCGTCCGAGCGCCCGAGCGACCGAGCGCCCGAGCGCCCGAGCGTCCGAGCGACCGAGCGTCCGAGCGCCCGAGCGTCCGAGCATCGTCCGAGCATCCGAGCGTCCGAGCGACCGAGCGTCCGAGCATCGTCCGAGCATCCGAGCGACCGAGCGCCCGAGCGTCCGAGCGACCGAGCGTCCGAGCGTCCGAGCGCCCGAGCGTCCGAGCGTCCGAGCGTCCGAGCGTCCGAGCGCCCGAGCGACCGAGCGACCGAGCGTCCGAGCGACCGAGCGACCGAAAGCGGCCGAGCGTCCGAGCGCCCGAGCGACCGAGCCGCGCCGAAGCGTCCGAGCGCCCGAAGCGACCGAAGCGACGAGCGACCGAGCGTCCGAGCGACCGAGCGCCCGAGCGAACCGAGCGACCGAGCATCGTGCCGAGCATCCGAGCGAGCCGGAGCGCCCCGAGCGTCGAGAGCGACCGAGCGTCCGAGCATCCTGAGCGCCGAGCGCCTGAGCGTCCGAGCAGATCCTGAGCGACCGAGCCGCCCGAGCGTACCGAGCGTCCGAGCGCCGAGGCGCCCGAGCGTCCGAGCGTCCGAGCGTCCTGAGCGTCCTAGCGCCCGAGCGCCGAGCGTGAGCGTCCGAGCGCCCGAGCGTCCGAGCGTCCGAGCGTCCTTGAGCGTCCGCGCGCCCGAGTTGGCCCCGAGCGTACCGAGCGTCCGAGCGTCCGAGCGTCCTGAGCGTCCGAGCGTCCGAGCGCCCGAGCGACCGAGCGTCCGAGCGCCCGAGCGACCGAGCGAAACCGAAGCGTCCGAGCGCCCCGAGCGTCCGAGCTCGGCGAGCGGCCGACGCCGATCGACCGAGCGCCCGAGCGTCCGATCGACCGAGCCATCGTCCGAGCATCCGAGCGCCGAGCGTCCGAGCGAACCGAGCGTCCGAGCGAACCGAGAGACCGAGCGTCCGAGCGTCCCGAGCATCGTCCGAGCATCGAGCGCCTAGCGTTCCGAGGCACCGAGCGTCCGAGCCGAACCGGCGACCGAGGCGTCCGAGCGTCCGACGCATCGTCCGAGCATCGAGCGAACCGAGCGTCCGAGCGTCCGAGCGACCGAGCGCCCGAGCATCCTGAGCGTCCGAGCGTCCGAGCGCCCGAGCGGGCTCTGGGGATGGGCGAGCCGGCCCGCACGGCGCAGCAGGCCCCCACAGGAAGGACGCCCGGAGAGCGGACCTGAGCTCCCGCAGAACCCAGTGCGTCCTCCCACGGGTGTGTGTGTGAGTGTGTGTGTGTGTGTGTGAGTGTGTGTGAGTGTGTGTGTGTGTGTGTGTGTGAGTGTGTGTGTGTGTGTGTGAGTGTGTGTGTGTGAGTGTGTGTGTGTGAGTGTGTGTGTGTGTGTGTGAGAGAGTGTGAGTGTGTGTGAGTGAGTGTG